AAAAAAATTTAAAAATAAAAAGAAGAAAAAAAAAATAGCCTTTGTTGTATTACATTACCCTTTTGTTTTGTTAAAAAATGGTATTAAAAGACCTCTTCACACACTACTAAAATATTGAAACAATGAACTAATAATGTTTCAACCCAATCAACCCATTAAAAAGTAGAATTTGTTAACATTTGTGAAGCTTATGCCAAAAAAGTTCCCTTTGTAGGCAACATTCCCGCCCTTGAGGACTAATATAAGGACAACATATTCTTACAAAATAACATTATGACGGAAATATAAGTAAATTGTCGGAGTAACAAGTTATGTTAACATCATTGCATAAATGATTCATGTAAATTGTAATTCAGATAAATTCTAAAATCACCACAGCGTACATATTCAACTACAAAGTGTTATTCATAATGTAAAGCATTGCACTTAGCAAAATTTCTCTCATCCATTGGTATTCTATAACCAGCCTCAATATTGAATCTATGTGATGACACTTCTAAATTTATTGATGGTGCATACTTTCAAATATGGTTGAAATCTAAAAGATGCTATAGTTCTATGGAAAAAAGACCTATTAGACTCAGATAATATGATAAACTGATTTTTATACGTTGTTTAACTAAATATGAAATGGCTCTTCCTAAAAACTTGCCTTTATTTGAAATAAAACAAAAATATTAAAACCTGATTATTTGTCTTGTTAAATCATTTTGTTTAGTGTGTACATGTAGGTCCAAAATAGAAACATAAATAACTTCTACCTACATTTTTATATACAAAACGCAATTCTTCTAAATATACCATAGTGATAAGAATTATCGCAATAACATAGAGGGGTTGTCGGGCATTTAAAACACACACACACACACACGCACGCACGCACGCACGCACGCACACGCACACACACAAACAAGAAAAAACCAAAAAAAACCCGTAAATTGTCTAGAAAAGAATAAAGGTAATAAAAAGTTGGTCCCTACTGGTGCACATTAGTGTCTGTAATCCTTAAAGTATTTCAATGGTTTACTTCAAATATTTATTGTTCGCCTTATTTTTAATTTTTAAACTGTCAGGCAATTACCCCATTTGCTATCATCTGACTGGAAGAAGGAGAGAGTTAATTGTGATCAAAATTGTTTTAAAATGTTTCCTAAATATGACAGCCGCCGTTTTTTCTATTATGACCTGAGGAATAAAGCTGGTTTCACCATTTTACGCCCGTTCGCAAGAATTTTCGTCGACCATGCATTTCCAAGCGATTGACTAGTCTCAAGAAAGTTATATACATTAATCTATTTTTATTCATTATCCGTGGAACTGTTGTCTAAATTTCTGTTTCTAGAGGTCGTTTTGTCACAAGTATAATCAAGAAGTTTTGTTAAGAAAAATTGTTAAACACTCGATTAAAATTGTCCTTCGACTGGTATGAAAGGCCTGTATTTCTTTTCTTGATAACGCTCCTGAACACAAAGAAGCCACTGAACGTAAATGATTTTTTTTCGAGGAAAACGAGTATCGTCCTTAAAGATCCTCGTAAGTACACTGTGACCTTTTCCTTTAAAAATGTCTCTTGCAGGTCATCGCTACAAGACTAGAAATAGACTTGGATCGACCATTTTTCAGTAATTGAATGGTTAAAAAATATACCTAAATAGGGCTATGTTGAAGCATTTAAAATGGAAAAATCGCCTGAACCTTTGTATTTCAGCAGTAGAAGATTATTTTGCCGGGGTGAAATAAAAAATTGTAAAATATTTGCTCTTTGTTGAATTTATTATGTCGATTACATTACACATTCACCTCGTATTTATGATTTTAATCACAACCAAATATTTTAAGTCATGAAAAAAAATCTTTTTTTTTGTCAAAGCACAAATAAACGGGATTGAACCAAAACTTCATATGAATGGACACACAGATGACTATAATTTTCCTATACTCTCTTTCTTTCGGTGGTATTTGATGCTAACTTTCAAAAACTGTTCATTTTAAAGCTATACGTAATCAATTTAGATGTATACATTTACGGAATTAATCCTACCCAAAGCAGTCATACTTCATTGACGAATTGACCGTCGAATTAAATATTTTGTTTCTAATAACATGAGAAATTTCAAGTGAATGTTTTATTCCAAACACTTAAAATTCACCGCACGGAACAGTATGGTTAAACAGGTTTAGCCGATTCTTCTACAATACAGTATATACATAAGATAATATATATATATATATATATTATATTATATATATATATATATATATATATATATATATATATATTATATATATATATATATATATATATATATATATATATATATAGATTGTAGGTGTGCAATATTTAACCCAGATTGAAGACAGCATGTCTTTTTTGCACTTTCATGCACATAAATACCTGCGATCGTTGCAACCAAGTGCAAGCCGTTTTTATAAAACACATGTAGAAACAATTTCTGATAACCATTTGCTCTCTTTCCTCCAATCAGTTGAAAGCAACTGTTTGAATGTTTTAGGTGACAATGATAATAATACAGGTGTTGTGTCTTCAAAAGCAGATTTGGTAATAATCAGCAGTTGAAATATATCAAATATTTATGTTTATTTCTCTCAATGTAAAACTGAACTGCGTTAATTTTTTTAGTGTGATTCATAAACAGATTCGTGTGTTTCTTTTGACAGAACATCAGTTTCTTATACAAGAACGTTTTAAAGTTGAAAAACAAATTGTGATATAAAATTAAACATTTGAGTTCTAGTATTGGAATTTCCCGGACAAATAAAAAAGAGGTGCTGAGCTGCTTCAACTTCCTGGAGTATTATTTATATTTTGACGTACAGCTCGTAAGAAAAAACTGAGTAGGTAATCCTGTATGACATGCTTGTTATTTTCATTTTCCTGTTAATAAATACTTGAGTTGGTTGTACCATCATCATTTAATATTCAGTTAAATACAAGGAAATATTTTCCTTGTATTCTTAAATTTTCTTCTCTCTGGTATATATAAATGTATAAAAACGCCACGAAGACCTATTAGTGTCCCTAGTTACATGATATATATGATATTCAATGTTTGCTTTTTCTTAAAGATGTGCATTTGATAATTTTCCCAGGCATTTTTTTGTTTTCTAAAAATTAATTATGCATTTTTGACTCGTTTGAAAAGTGGACAAATTAAAGCCGCAGTGTCCCCCAAAGAAAAGGGTTTGGCTCCGGGGCGCTATTTGATCTAAAAATTGGCGGATTGCTCGTGTTTGGATTTGCCGTGTCGCCCGGCTCAAAAATGTTTAAAAACCCTATAGAAAAAAGCGATTTTCGTTCAGACATCGAAAGCTTACCTGGGACAAAATTTATTGGTGAAGGGAAAACTTTTAAATAATGAATACTTTTAAACTGGTTTATTTTTTAGGAACCCGTCAAAATCATTAGAAAAGTTAAAACCACAAAAATGGTTTTTAAGATCAAAGGGCCCCATTTAAAAATTTTCTCTCACTGGGTTTAAAATAAAAAATTTAAAAAAGAAAGATTTTTTTTAATATTTTTAAAAAATTAACCTTGCATTACTTCTTCTTAGAGAGTTTTTAGTACGGGTCAACTATCGAGGTTTTAAAAAAAAAGTTTCATCTTTTGCGTCTTTTTTCATAAATTTATATTTTTGTATTAATAGTTCATTGCTTGGAGAAAACCCTTTTTTTATTGAGATAAAAAAATTTCCCTTATAAAACTTTAAATGTTGAGAAAAAATTTTTGTAAAATTTTTTGTTTTTTCATTCTTTTTTAAACATTAAAAATTAAGTTTTAAATTTTAAATTCAAAAAAAAATAATTAATAGCATGAGTTTAAAATTTCCAAATTGTATTTTAAGTTAGCGGGTAAAAAAAAACGTTAGTAATCTTTACTACGTGGTTTTTATACCTAAACTCTTGGGAACATAAAATAATGCTGATATGCGGGAATTTTTTTTCACCCTTTCGGTTGTAAATAAAAAAAAGTTTTGCAATCTTAAACTTTTAAAAAATCTTCAAAACAAAAAATCAAAGCAAACTGCTTTTGTCTAAAAAAATAAAATGTCTTATTCAATCAAATTAATTTAATTTCTATTATTTTGATATCATTTGTACACTAAATGATTTATTATTATGTGAATTTTTCATTTGGAATATGCCCATAGGAAGCATTTTGGTCCGTTTTTTTGATCTTATCATTTTAATGTAAAAAGGATGTCGGGTTTAATGTGGCTTGGGTTTTAAAAGAGAAAATTTTTTCATATTTTAAAAATTGTTGAAAAAAGTTACTTGTTTATCATTTGGGTATTTCCCATTGTAAAACTTAGTATGGAAGTGATTAACGGGGCCCCCAAAAATTTGTTTTTATTTACTGCAAATACTGTTTGGTAACGTTTTTGAAAAAAAAAAGTAGTAAAAGTAAAACAAAGGAATTTGGGACCTTTGATCTTTCACTTAAAAAATGTGAATGCTATCCACAAGGCCCCCTGATTTTGGGGGAATTCTCATAAAATTTTTATAAAAGATACATTTTATGCCCGTTTTATAATTCGTGCATACGTAATTGCATTTGACTGCAAACTGTCCACCTGCTGTACGTCGCTTTATTTTTCTGTCAAAAGTTGTGGAATAAAATTTTAATGTAAATTGGTGGGATTGTGTGGGAAAAGTGTCCTCTATTATTTTGGGGGCATTTTTGACCATGTAAAAAAATTGAAAGGTGTCTGAAACCGATATTTTTGTCAACTGTCCTACGATATGGTGTGAGGTTCATACTAATTATGACTCCCAATTTATTTTAGGTCAAAAATTAAGGTCACGTGATCAGGTCTTAACATTTTTGTGGGGGGGTATGACTTTTGTTTGCCTCTTTTTGGTTTTTTTTTTAATTAGGCCAAAATGAAGGGGCAAACCAATAATTAAAAGCGTTGACCCTTTTCCCAAAATTTTACGTGGGGGGCTGGGAACTAGAAATCCCAGGTTTAAAATTTTATTGGTTTTTCCCCCGAAAAATATAAAACATTTAAAAACCATGTGGATCTTTGTTCCGGAACCCTTTCCCCATGACCAAAATTTAAAAAAAATTTAAATTTCTTCCCCAGCCACACCCTTTATATTAAAAATATATTTTTTTTTTCTTTTAATTTGGTAGGTTTGGGGTTAAGGGGGTCCTTAGGGGTCATTTTTTTCGTTTTTTAGTATAGGGGTCTCAAAAAATTTCGTAAAAAATAAATTTAAAAGGGGGAAAAGATTTTTAATAACCTTTAAAAGATTATCCTTTTCAAATACGTCCCATCCAATTTCACTTGTCCATTCTGGACCCCTACTGAAAAAGTGTTGTAGCCCGTCACGTGACATCTCCCGCAGCTGTCTGTCCACGGCACACCTCAGTTCCTCTCTTGACTCAAATTTCGTAACACGAAGACTGTTTTTTAAAGTTGGAAACAGCCAGAAGTCACAAATTGCTAGGTCCGAGCTGTAGGGTGGTAACAGTTCGACGTCGAGTTTTTTTCAGTGTATCCATGACAACGTTGCTTGAATGGCTCGGCACGTTGTCGTGATGTAATATGAATCCGGACCTAAATAGATGTGGGCGCTTTCTCCTTATTGCCGCCATGAGTTCCGTTCTAAATTATGTTGCATATTAATTCCCAGTGACTGTCGATTTCGGAGGAACAAAGTGGTTTAGCACTACACCGTATGTATCACAGAATATAATGGCCATAACATTTTCACCCTTACTCCCATCTGCTCCTACGTCAACAAACGAGGCACCAATCTTGCTGAAACGCGGCACATTCCTAATCTATCAGTCATAATGCCCTGAGCTGTACCATATGAAATAGCGAACTTATCTGCTACGTGCTCCACACATACTCTTGTATCTCGGAGTATGTACTCCAGAATGGCAGCCACTGTTTCTTCATCTGTCACAGTCACTGGCCTACCTGTACGTCTGTCGTCTTCAGTTGCCTCTCAACCGTCTTTAAACCGCTTCATCCACTTTTGAATGGCAACTTTTGACAGAGCAGCCTCTCCGAAAACTTTTTTGCAAATCTTCAAGAATATTGGTAAAAGACTTTCCGAGTTTTGTGTAAAACTTTTTGTCGTTTTGGGCTTTCTTTAGGGATTCGTATTTTCCTTTTTTATCGCCACATCAGCGCTACATGTGCTTGTATTCTTAGTTTTAACTTTTCGGCATTTTCAGTTGGGCGGTTCCAGTATTCCTTCTTGAATAATGTTGAATCACCCTTAGAATATGTTGCCTGCTTTTTAACTTTGTCTTTTGACGTCTTATCTGTGATATACAGGCTTCATAACCTCTGATCCCCTTACATAATGCCATTTTATTGAGTTCCGCCCATTGTTTTCTCGTTTAGGGCACATGCGTTCTATTACTTGGGGACCATACGCCGCTTTTCATGGAATGGCACGAATGTGTCACATTGTAGGTCCCATGATAACCGCCGTATGAATACATGCTGTGTAACGCCATTTTCGAACGGACGCCAGTAACGTGACGTCATTTACGGTTTATGACGTCATAAGTGTTGACGTCAAAGTTGTGTAAAAAGTACGATTTAATTTGAATTAATCTGTTTTCACAGCATTTAAAGTTTCATTTTAAAAGGACCAGTAGTTTTGACGCTATTGAATTAGTTTACGAATTTATTGATGCACACTCGTATCTATAATTTAGTGGAATGACCTTGGTGATTTTGACGTTAGCATTTATACCTACCATTATTGTGGCTGAGGAACTTGCACCAACTCAGCTATTTTCGGTAAATATACAACAAATGTTGAGCATTTGAATCTGCTTCCGCTACTACGACTTCTGAGCATGGCGAATCATACATATTGTATTGAAGGTAATTGGAAATCATAGAAAAAAGTGAAAAAGTACTTAAAAGGTACTAAACTATCTATTTTGCTCCATGTATATAAAAAGAAAATAAAAAATCAGTATTCTCTTGTTTCTGTCATAAATCCCATTAAGGTTCGGCTTTTAACACATTCAGTTTCTTCGCACTTCTACCACATTCAGTTTCTTTGCACTATTGAAGATATTTCTTTGTCGTTGAATTATGTTGGAAATCAAGTAAACTTTGCTAACTAATTAAATTCATATTTCAGATTGAATTGACAATGCAGTTAAATTTGATCGCCAGCATTCTCCTGGTGTGTAATTTTGTTGAAGCTTTAAATGTCAAAGTAGTAGAACTATCTTATGAGCTTGGACCAGAAACATTGTTCTACCCAGGAAGTCCACCATTTGTCTTAACTATCCTACGTCGCGGTAACACTGGGGCATATTGGTAAATTTCTCTTTTTGATAAAATGATAATGGTTATCGTAATTATTAACACCAAAACGAAATTAACACATAAAAGGGAATCTTTTATACCTGTAATAAAAAGTTACAAAATACAGTTTTTATTTCCCTTTTCATGTATAGATAAAACTTTTTTTTTTGTCGAAGCTTTTCACTTTATAGATAAACCTTTTTAACATTTCGAAGTTCATCGTGACAGTTTAAATATTTTTATAAAGGTTTGAGCTAAACAAATTCGAAGCAGGAGAGCACGGTGGGACTCATCTGGATGCACCATCCCATTTTGCCGAGGGTAAATTGAGAATGCATGAAATTCCAATGGACAAATTAATAGGACCCGGTGTCATAAATTGACGTTAAGGTAGGGGTTATTGTTTTCCTTGATGTTTTACCTGGAAATATGCGTTGAACAGTTAACTGACTAAAAAAAAACCGGAATAGATTATTTTGAAGTTTGTCACTCAATATGTTGTTCAACAAATTGAGATTACTGCTAACCAACACTTGTCAATATTCAATTTATTTCAACAGTTTATAGATACAATACCTATAGCTCAATACAATTTAACATTTCATGATATTGAGCACAGAGAGTACATTAAATGTTTTCAGGAAAAACAATAATATTTTGTATAAAAAAATTGAATTTAAACACAATATTTTTTGTTAAAATTGTAAGTGTTTTAATACATCTGGTAACATATAATAAAAATAAAATTTGAAAACTGACAAGAAACTTTGGATCAACCGAGTATCATTAACTGAAGTGCAGTTGCATAACTTTGTGTAAAACTGCCTTTATATTTTCATTCTTCGATGAAGAAATTTGAAACTGTTCGCATCTAAAATCATTAGGGAGTATGATAGTACAACAATTATATAATTTACGAAAAATATTGTTTTTTTTTTTTTACAGTATTGACCATATATTGATATGCACATATAAACCTTATTCCCACCGCCTTTTAAAGAAATGACATAGTCTAAGGAACTTTTCAGTTATAGATCTGATATTTTCTATGAATTAAACAACTTCTTTTTAGGTAAAGTAGAAGGGAACCCGGATTACAAAGCAGTATTGGGCGACATTATGGCGTGGGAGATTGAAACATAAAAAATTCACTGAATGTGCACATCGTTTCATGAATTCTGAATGGGGAAAAAAATTACCAAAAGCGCTAACAATTTGGCACCGCGACTCCAAGGATCCGTCGCCCCTTCCATTATCCAGGCTGGATACGGAAACTGTGGATTGGTTGATAAAAAAAAGACAGTTGTTTTTTGGTGTTTACACCCCTTGACTTCCCGAGATCAAGTAAAATCCGGTTCACGTGGCCTTGCCAAGGCAATGTTCGGGGGTGGAAAAAGTCCCAATTTGGATTCTTCCCGAGGTGGTTTTTATATATTTTTTGCCTATTAAATTTAAAAAGGAAGTGGGCACAGCAAAAAATATTCGTCATTTTCGAGAGTCGGGAAAACGAAATTATCAAGAACTTTAATTAATATTTTCTCTATTTCAATATAATAATGCTTTAATTGCATTTTCAAAATAAATACTAAGTATTTGTACAAAATATTTTAAAATATGATGAAATCGTAAAAATAAAAGAAAAGCTGTTTTGTGTTCCTTATAAGATGATTTTATGGTTTGCGTTTTGGTGTTGGATATAGCGTTACGTAAAAAACATTTTTGTACACTAATAAAAATATTGGGATAATAAACTTTTTATGTTTCAAGCTGCAACCCCATGAACCTATTAAATAAGTAAAATTTGTTATTTTCTGTGGAGCTTTTGCAAAAAAAATAGTTTCTTAAATAGCTCTTGACTACTAGTATATGTTTTTCAAGTTTTTTATTTCTTAATTTCCACGAAGCAACGTGTCCGCCATTGCGGACAACACTTTAAAAAAAATAGCATTATGATGAACAGTGACATATAAATGAATTGTCGGAGAAAGTTACATATTTAGAAAATGTGATATCATTTTATAAATGAATCATACGTATATATTAAAATCAGATAAACATGTTGTTTTGTGCACACAGTTTGAATAATAACATTATATTGTTTTTGTGCACACAGTTTGAATAATAACATTATTTTAATAAGCGTCTCAAAATATGGGTTATCACATAGTTTTCCAAGATGTGTGACGATCTACAAGTTTCAATCTTGGCTATTCATTGTGTGCACAATTATGAAATGAAACACCATTGCCTTAACATTAAAGGCGATAATATTATGATCATATATAAATGTTATAAATAAAACAAGAAATATGTATCATTATACGCCATTAGTACATAAAATTGCAAAAATATGCTCAATATAAATTAATCAAATCAATGAATTAAATCAATAAATTGAAGCATGTTTTGTGTTACACAATACCTGTTTGGGATCAACTGTTTTATAGCGTACACATTCAATATATGTTATGTAATGACGCCCTGGACAAAATGCAATAGCTCTATGAAAAAGTTCTTTTTACTCAGAAACTCTGATATACTGATCATTTATAAATGCGTTGTTTAACTAGAAATATTATACATGTACATCTATTCTTAATAACAGAATTGCACAATTAACACTTCATTTAGAAAATAATTTTCACAAGTGTATATAAACATAACGAAATAAAATGAACCAATTGATTGAAAAACGAAGTTTCAATTCAAAAGCATTTTGTGTATATCTTATATAATTTATATTATGTCTTTGATGTTTATGTGGACTGCGAGCGTTGTATTATTTCCTGTATACTGATGGGCACACTGCCTTTGTATGAATAAAGTTTCTTTTATCATGTCTATCATATATTCTTAACTGTTAAGCTTTAATGCCATATAGTTCGATCATCTATGCATAGTCTAATCAGATGAAAAGTTAGAAATTGAGTGCTCGGGGTTTTCAATAAAGTATTAAATTCGTATTTAAATTATGCAAAGTCTTTGCACAGAAATGTATGAAACTGAGCCAAATGCTATATCACAAACGTAATAAACAAATCTTCCGAAATTTACTAGACGGATGTAATAAAAGTTTAACACTTATTTGGTTCACCTTAAACTTCTTTTCTTATATGTTTGAAGTTAATGATTAAATGAATCCGATATGTGTCAAAACATCCTTGTCACCAACAAAGCATGCAAATATATGCTAACTTGTAATGATTGAAATAGTTTCATAATTTAAAATACTAATACAAAATTTATACAAGTATACATGAAACATTAATGTGTGAGTTAAATAACTAAGAACTTTACCAATGTCAGTAAAACATTAATTATTTCATGCAAACTATAATAAAAATGACAGAAAGAATAACCATCGACAAATTTTAAAAAATAACGTACATTATTTTTAAAAGCAAAATATAATATAATTTAATTCCTATAAACTAAAAATTTCGAATGTTTTATAGTAACTGAATATTGAACTATGTTTATCCACTTCGTTGATTTCGAGAAGGCGTTTGACTCAGTACACAGAGACAGTCTTTGGATCATCATGAAAAAGTATGGTATACCAAATAAACTGATCCAAATGGTTAAAGCACTATATGATGACTTCCAATGATCATTGATTGAAGACAATGAGACTACAACCCCTTTCCCTGTTATGACCGGCGGCGTAAAGCAGGGCTGCTGCATGTCAGGATTCTTGTTCCTTTTGATAAAAGATGGAAAGCACAGACAGTCAAAAAAGGGAAAGAAACCCGGAATTCGAGGGACTTCACCACCTGCTCGAAGACTCGACTTTTAATGACATTGCTCGCTATCTCCATTTTAACCCTCTCAACAAACAAAAATAAAAACCCCCCAAGGTTGGTCTGAAGTTAAAGCCAAAAAAAATGTAAAATGAAAAAAAGGTCAATGTACGGTAAGCCACTAAAAGTAAAAACAGGAAATTGAGGAGGGGCACTTAATACCTAGACGCAATTTATCAAGGAAGGGGGGGCCAGCGAATCAGGGGAGGTAGCATGGTGTGCATCCTTCAGGAGGTAGACACTATTTGAAAGGAAATATCAGCAGAAAAATTTAAAATCTCTCTTTTTTAAAAACTTTCCTCTCCGTCTTAAAATTTATTTTTAATGGAAAATCCGAAAGGGGGGGAAAAAAAATTTCTCCTTTCAGCAAAAGTGTCCAAGGAAGATCCTTAAGATCAGATGGCAACAGCGCATACCAAACCTGACTGTACTGGAGATGGCAGAAGCATCTAACATCAGTGAAGAGATCAGGAGAAGGAGATAGAATTGGATTGGCCACATATTAAGAAAATATCTAACAGATGATTGTGCTGTGGCACTAGGGTGGTCGCCTGAGAGAAGAAGGAAGAGGGGACGCCCAAAGACAACGTGGCGACGAATGGTGGAGGTAGAAAGAAACAAAGCGGGATGGAACTCTTGGAACACAGTGCGCAGTGAGGCTTCAGACCGCAACATGTGAAAGACAAATGTCCATGCCTATTGTGCCTCTTGGCACGGAGGGAATTAAGGGATAAGGGGGAATATTGAACAAACTTCCAAAATAATTTAAGCTTTAACATGACTTGATACCAAAAACAAAATACTTAGAGATACTGTTGAAGAAAAGCTTAAGTATTCATTCATATAAAGAAAATTCTTGAACATTCTGCAATACATTAAATTAATCATTGATCAAAGTCTAGAGACAATTAGATTCTTGAGTTCAAATATAAACAGTAATAATAATTTTTTCGATTTTTCACAATAAGACAAAATGAATGAGACATAAATATTTCTGGCACATAAAAGTACAAACACCATATTGGTTTAAAAATATAGAATAGTATGTCAACAAAACAGTATATGAATAGTACATATACATAACAATAATTATGGCTTCATTAGTTCAAAAGAAAGTGGAAGGTTAACCTCTATCGCAGTTTCATGATGGTAATTAGTGTTAGATAGAATAAGCATCCATGGTCCTACCATGGAATACCCGTCAGCAGCACAGTAATCCATGGTCCAACCATAGAATACCCGCCAGCAGCACAGTAATCCATGGTCCTACCATGGAATACCTGTCGTCAGCCAGTCATCCATGACCCTACCATGGAATACCCGCATGCAGCACAGTCATCCATGGTCCAACCATGGAATACCCGCCGTCAGCACAGTCATCCATGGTCCAACTTTGGAATATCCGCCGTCAGCACAGTCATCTATGGTCCAACCATGGAATACCCGCCGTCAGCACAGTCATCTATGGTCCAACCATGGAATACCCGCCCTCAGCACAGTCATATATGGTCCAACCATGGAATACCCGCCGTCAGCACAGTCATCTATGGTCCAACCATGGAATACCCGCCGTCACCACAGTCATCCATGGTCCAACCATGGAATATCCGCCGTCAGCACAGTAATCCATGGTCCTACCATGGAATTCCCGCCGTCAGCACAGTTATCCATGGCCCTACCATGGAATACCCGCCGTCAGCACAGCCATTAGTTTTCCAATATACGGATGCACAATAACGCTTAAATATATAACGTTATGGTAAATTCCATGAAATTTCAAATAAAGGAGTAATCATTAAGTACTTTTAGGATATTTAAACTTTTGTCAATATCCAACAAACTTCATATAACTTTCATACACCTAACTTCATTTCAAATACAAAGAAAAGGCAAGATAATTCTTCCTCAGGGAATGTGTCAAAACGATACGCAACATACTAACCATCTTATGATCTATGGAATTCGTCACTGAGATATGCCACTGAGATACGCCAATGACATACGTCTCTTATTGTTCGAAAAGGTTTAGTGAAATGAATTAAATGAAAAGAGTACAAATAATACAATATTGAAAGTTTCAATCAACATTTATCAGACATGTTATTGTCTCTTGTACGAAGTGTTTATGTACAGACTCAATCAAACCGAGTCTGCAATTTTCATGTAATTTACTGCTTTTAATGCTTCCGACGGATCACTTTTCAAGATATTTATACATCACAACAGCAGGTATCTTCTTCACTTCACTTCAGTGTTGTTATATTTATCTGGTCCTTCAAGATCACTAAGTCCTTTTAGTGTTGGGAATTAAGTACCGCTCAAGCCGGTGCTAATTGGCGTGAGAGATGTTGCACTTTTTATCATCTCTCAAGTACAGACTAATTCATACCAAGTCTGAAATTTTCATGTAATTTTGCTGTTTTTAATGCTTACGAGGGATCACTTTTTTCCCAGATATTTAGTACTTTGTCATATGTGTTCTTAGACCTTTTTTGTTGACTCTCTGGAAACGTACAAGTTTGCGTAATGTAACAAATGATGTCATTGCATTTATCTTGGAGTATTCTACATTGGTGTAAAACTGGCTTATCTTTGTAAGACGCTTTCTTAACTCTTGCTAGAAATATGTTTTGCTTTCGTCGGATTTTTTTATTCCGTCGACAGTTTTTCTTTTCGACGGGTAGGTTCTAGCCTTTTTGACGAAAGTGTTCGTAGTTTATAAGAATATATTCTATAAATTAAAATATTCTAGTTTAATTGTATATTGAGCTTTACAAGCTTGAAGGCACGCTTCTCGACACCGCCCCCACCCCTCCTCTCTCTCCTTCGACAATGCATGTATGCATGTAACACATGCGAACGTTAAGAAAAATGATTTGCAAATGAAGCCAACATTATGTAAGAAAAAGGTTATTCTTTTTTCAATATAAAGTGACCTTTAATGGATTAAGTACTAGTGTTGGTGTGTAGAGTAATTAGCAATAGTATGCGGAAAAAAAATTTCAACTGTTTGTATAATTGAAGAAATTAGATTAAAACATTAAAATTTTCACAATTTCAATTTCTTGTCTTATTTGTTTGTTTGTTGCAGTACTTTTTTCTTTTTTATTTTAAGACTACACCATATACTATTCGAAATAAAATAAAAGTTTCGTTGGTATTCAATTTCAAACATTTTTACGGAAGCTCTGAAATGACATTTTTCGTTACTTGTTATTTTTTATTTAATACTAGTTATTACAAATTAGTTATTAGATATTTGTTATTTCTTGTGAAAGTCTATTGCAATGAAATTTTCAAAGTCATCGTTAGAGAAGCAGGGGCGTCTTTTCGATTTTGTTTCAAATATATCGATTTATTAAGTGATGGCTAGAGCTTATAGTCCACTGGTTATTAGACATTTTCAGCGTAATGAATGTTGATTTTTGTTACAAAATTGCTTTGTCTACTACAGTCGCTCCTTTTTAGCTGTTTAAAACGTTTTATTCTGTTCTCACTAGCGTCTTATCGAGATGTAATGTATCTTTTCCCTGAGCAGAAGGATGGATATAACTTTAAAACATATCTAAACAAGTGAATATATATGAATGAAATGATATTTGCAAAATAAATTTCAAGTGACTATTGTATTCAAAGAATCTGCACTGTCAGAACATAATTATATTTCCTGCAGCGACAAAAGTACAGATGAACAGATGTCATATACAAAACTTATGACCGAGATAAATAGAACAGATGAGTGTAAGGCGGTTAATGCATGCATATTTACCCCAAGACAGCTAGACTGTTAGAATTCAAGTTGTTTTGCACATACATGTACATATGTACCTGCAATTGGTAGAATGTAATAGTGCAAGCTGTTTTTGTAAATGCATGTGAAACAATTTGCAGACAGTTGCATTTTTCCCTGCAACTGAATGATTTCAGTGACAATGATAGTTTTCTCTTGAAAAGCAGATTTTGGTATTTATCAGCAGCTAAAATGTATTAAATATTTCTCTTTCATTCTTGGTATATCTATTTGCTAATATATAAAAATGCATTTTTTTAGCATCAAATTGATTTATATGAAGTTGAATAAACAATACTTCCAGGCAGATATGTTATTGTTTGATATGACTTGTTAAATCAAACTGAATATATACTTGTCTGTAACTGTGGTATATCTATTAACTAGATTAAACGCATTTTTCGGCATCAAATTGATTTATATGAAGTTCTCATTAAAAAAGGTAGTGGGAATTATGCCACACAGCATTCTGATCCAGACTGATTTATATATTTGCATTTATAATGTAATATATTATGCCTCTATGTAAGCATGGGAGCATACTGTGATGGCTTCGGGCTGCATATATTTGTCACCTCTTGTCCTATAAATGGCTTAAGAAAGAATAAGCAGCTCTTACTTGGATATTGCAAATGGCAAGTAGATAGTCTCTCTTAATTTTGATGTCATTAGTCACATTGTTCTAGACCACTGAAAGCTTTACCGACCAATAACTAAAGAATGCTTTGTCTATGGTTGGTCATGACAAATGGATGTCTCCTATTGTAACAAGGTCAAAGTCAAGGTCACCCTGGCCCTGGTTTTAGAAGTTTGTCCGCCAATAACCAGAGAATGATGGCCTGCATTCCTAACATTTGAGGTGGAGGTTGAAAATCAACCCTATTTATATTCAACATTTCTATCAATATCTTATGAAGTAATAAGTATCAGTTTATGGGGCATTGTTAAATGTATGTAGGGGACTCCTAATAGTTATATTGATATGCAGAGGCACATGTAAATATGCCACTGTGATACCAAATGAAGTGGGGATTATGTGTCCTATGAAGTCGTTCCTTTTTTTCTTTTATATCCATTATTCAGTGAAATGACAATGTTAATTTTGACCTCGGCGTTGATACCAACTATTTTCTTAATCAACCTCTGCTTTTGTGAGAGCAAATATGCAACAATTTTGGACGTTTGAATCTGTTTTCGTAACAAAGACTTCTGAGCATGCCTTAGTATATAGTAATTGGATATCAGAGAAAAGGCTATTACATTATATTTTTTTAGATTAAACACCACGAAGGTATTGATTTGTCTATTTTTCGTCTGGTACATAATAAAAAGAAAATAAATGAGTGAGTATCCCTTTGTTTCTGTAATATACCATAGCAAGGCGAGTCTTTTTGCCACATTCAGTAACAAGGCGTACGTACTTCTCCAAGGTTCATCTTAATATTGCCTATATGATTTAGGAGGGCATTATTTTCAATTGAAGTTATGATTTGTTGGCAAAGGATGTTGGACAGAAGATAAACTTTTATAACTAAATGAATTCATATTTCAGACTGAAATTACATTGCAGTTAAAAATAATCGACAGCATTCTCCTTGTGTGTAAATTTGTTCAAACTTTAGATGTTGAAATAATAGAACTATCTTACGAGCTCAGACCAAATGCAAGATTGTACCCAGGAAACCCTCCTTTCGTGTTTACTATAACAATTATATCGTGGTAACACTAGATCATACAGGTAACAACTTTTTTTCTGTAATAATTATGGCTAATTCATTGTTTGATCAAATAGAAATTTAATTTAAAGGTCATATAAAAGCGTAGCACTTTTGCAACATTTATATTCTTAATAAAAGAATGATTAATGGACAGCATTCTAAATGTATATATCACATTGTTGTAAAACTAATAAATTTTGTCATAAATTGTTCATTTTATGGAAATTTGTTTTTGAAATTTTAATTTTGAAGCTGATTGTGGTAGTGGACTATTAGTAGATATGAGATAAACAGGTTTGAAACGCAAATATGTGGCACCGCGACCCCAGAGGATGCGTCGACATTCTATTATTCAGGCCTGCATAAGGAAACGGTTGATTGGTTGCTATCAACTAGACATGCCTGTGTTGTCGGTTATGTATTATATGCAATGGAAGATACAAATGTGTAAATTTGTTCTTGTTTTTCCATTTAAAGTCAGTTGTTTAGATCTATATGTAAACTTGTTATTTAAAAGCGAGAACCTTGATTAAAAGACTTGATTAAGAGGCATATTATTTGAAATACACAGATACAGTCAAAAATGTTAGGCATACACATTCTCATTTTCAAAAGTAATATTCAAAAGTAACACTTTACATGTCTGGAATTTTGGCAATGAACGCACTCCATAGGTCAGAAGTCATTCCTACCTGCTACAGAATTTTCTAACCAAAACCATCACATTGTGTATCACTTTCTTTTGGAGTAGCCACCAAATGCAGTAAATAAAACTAAAAACTATTTACAAAATACACAAAATTCATATTTGTACTATGAACAAAATTAATTAAAGAAGTTTTTTTCATAAAAGAATTTATTTCAATCATTTTTGTCACATGATAAAGAATTGTACAATGATAGTTAAATTGGAACATAATTAATAAAATATTTTACATCCTCTTCAATAATAAATTTTTATACACAAGTTCTATTAATGTTTTTTACTTTTCCATGTGTTGGCCACATAACTATTTTGGAGGTGTTACGATTCCTGAAAATGCCTACTGTATATTATACGAGGGTTGTCCAAAAAATTCGTGCACTGTAATTATTGTCGAGAGTTATTAATAAAAACAAATGAATTATGTATCACTTGAAGGGGAAATCTGTCTCAAATAAGAAAAAAAAAAAATCCGAGTAACCGGCGTGTCGTGAAAAAGAATTGTCATTAAGTTACCTTAGTAACGTAATACCGGCGCACGACAAAAAATTGGGTTAGTTCATTACTGTAATTGTATTAATTGTTTGTTGCTTGTAAAGTGGTATTAAATTTTGCTTCTTATGTATAATTTGTTTAACTGTCAATAGAGGAAAGATTGGTGCAATATATTTTGTAGTTTTTATTGTTCTTATGCAACGTACATGTAACATATTTCACCAGTGCACGAATATATTGGACAACCCTTGTCACATGCGCCGGCATTACGGACGGACTTCTGCCGGACCGGTTGTCATCGTCTACCGACTCTCGCCCTTCTACAGAGCGTTTGTGCCATTTAAAAACCAGCCTTCGTGACACTGAACTTGTCCCGCTTGCCCTTTTAAGTTCTTTGTAGGTATATATTGATGTTTTCCCAATATTTGCACAAAATTTAATGATCGTCTGCATTTCCAGACGTTTAGCGACTGACATTTTCACGTAATTACAGTATTGACGACCACACACAAATGTTCGTTTACGACCGTTACAATAGGGCAAATGACGTAATATTTTCAAGTGATGTTAGGAATACGTACACACACTTTTCCATGAATTTTCACATTTATATGTAGTGTTTAAAGAATACCGTGATGCATCAAAGAAATTAACTAACCAATTTTTTTGTCGTGCGCCGGTATTACGTTACCAAGGTAACTGTTTGACGATTCGTTTTCACGACATGCCGGTTACACGTTTTTTTCTTTTGTTTTTTATTTTAGACAGATTTTCCCTTCAAGTGATATATAATTCATGATTTTCTATCAATAACTCTCATGACAATAACTGCAGTGCACGAATTTTTTGGACAACCCTCGTAATTATGATAATATAACATATCTAGCAAAAGTTGGGGCATTCCTTTTAAAACAGTTAATTTTCGAAGCACTGGGAAATAATTCTTGACTAAGACAGCTTAGAAAAACTTTGTATCAATTCAAGCAGATCTATTCTCTTGATAGCACTATTTCTTTCACTGTTTCCATATAGTCATTTAATGTAAATTTTCTTCGAGTAAATCTTTTTACATTTTAAATCACTCTGACACTGCCGAACATATCATAACTTTTTTTCTCATCTCTTTTTATATCACACTGTTAACACTATAAACTATTTCCTGAATCAATGTTCTATCAACATTATGCAGTTATCTAAAGCATTGATTCTACAGCATTCTTGCAAACCATCCGTCACCTTTAAAAATACTTTTTTTCACACACTTTCTTGTAATCTTTGACAGATTTTTTCTAAATTTGTGTCAAGATGATCAGTACTCCGTCTTGTATGGATGAAGCGGCAATTTCATCATCATCATCCAAATTCCTGCATATAATCCTACAACTGCTAATGCCTGACTTGTATATGAACTTCCGTATAACAGATACACGGCATTTAATGGTAACAAGAACACTACAACTTGCTCTGATAAAACAAGGTTCGATTTCCACAATATTCCCCATAGTACATAAAACATTGGTAAAACTGACAGTAGGGACAATATTTCCACAATTGAACGCACAAAAGACAATCCTCCCAAAGTCCATAAATCACTGTGTACTATACTTGAAATATATAAAATTGCAATGCATGTGAATATAGTTGGCACTATTTGGTTTTCTTGTTTTATATTGTATAAAAGTCTTCTATCTTTCTGTAAACACAACAGGATCAATGATGCACCGCAACACTGAAATAAAACAACAACAACAACAATGTTAAATTGTTTACCCATACAAGAATGGAACAGAGACTGCAAAGCTTTGCAATCAGTATAATGCCAGGTCAGTCTACATGTACATAAACTATGACCAGGCTTTACATTGTTGACTGTCAAATTTTTTTATTTTCATCCAAATATCCCTAAAATTGTTAACAGACTGCTTCAAAATAGAAAATGATAGAAAAAATCTTGAAAGGGAGTGATCCCTTGGAAGCAATTATTTTCTGTTCATGAGAGATAATGTTAAAGTACAACATCTCTAATGCCCCTTATTACCAGCTTAACTGGAATTCATCTTCAACACTAATGAACAAACAAGTCCATTCAAGTTATCCAGGAGATAACAAATTATTATATCAAAGGCATTATTTTCTTTATAAAGATAAAACAACAATTTAATTTTTCAACAAAAATTCTCAATTCAGTATTTCAAGTATAAAGAGAACGTAGACTTTTAATATACACTTGTTAAGTTTCTGATAAAAATAAATATTCACAAACAGGAAAAGGATTAATGCTTATTGAATTCAACGTCATTTTATGTTAAAAAACTGTATATTTGTGTCGTCAATTTTCACTAGATAATCAAAGAGGCTATATTACCTATTTACATTGTTGTTTAAAATTTATGAAGCAATGCTCATTTTACCTCAAATAAAGGAATTGTGCTGAATCATAAATTCATTGTAAGAATTTTTGACAGTTTAAATTAAACAGTGTATAAATGTTTGCCTGCATCATATAAGCCTTAAACTATTTATACTTGGACATGCAGATGCATCAATAATAACAAATGATTTGTTTAAATTTTGAATAAAATACAGGACATACATACCCAAATGTCATATAAAATACCATGAACAGGGGCCTGTATACAGGCTAGCAGGAATGTTAAAATACTGGATATATTTCCTATAAATGGAAGACGCGGCACTTCCTTCTCTTTTTTCTCTTCTACAAGTGGTATCAACAGATCCTGATCAGATATAAAAAGGAATATAGTTTATATAAAGATTATATATATTTTCCATGAATAGATTTTAGGTAATACTTTCATTCATAGGACCATACAGGAATATTTCGGCTTTTACTGGTATACACAGATTCTATAAACCAACCGACTATCATTCACTGCTTAAATTGAATCTGTATTAGAGGCAACTAATTTCAATAGGTTACTAGTTGCTGAAAAGCTTCCTCCTATAAAAAAATTCAATACACAATGTGAAATTTGAATGAAATTTGTGACTTGCAGGTGGTTCCACATCAGTCTTAATTTTACACTTACCACCTAGGCTATATAGGCCTTATAAATTAGTTAACACTATTGCATATTCACCTGAATAAACCTATGCATGGACTTGGAACGAAGCAACAAATAAAGAAACAAACATTCTGAGTGTCTTTAAATCTCCAACGCATATTCTTAAATTTTACTCAGGACTGATTTTTATTAATCAATAAAATATACAAGCTTATTGGAAAATTCATCATCACAATGAAGTTTTGTCTTCAAATAATTCTAATATTTACTTATATGGATGGTAATTATAATAAAGACTGTACAACTTTATTCTCTTCCTTTATAAACAACAGACAATACCTGTGTAGTAGAGAGGATTTTCAATGAAAAACTGACTAGTCCTGTTGTAACTAGGGAAAGTTTCCAAGCAGGAAGTGACATAAAAGCCTCATTCTTGTCACGGAGTCCTGTGTCTAAAAATAGTAACATGATGGAAAGAATCCCAAGGCTGCAGCATCTGTAGGATGAAAAAATTAAATAAGTAAAAAAAAATCAATTTAGTCATATTTAAACTTAAGGTTCAAATACTTTCAATTTCAAACAAAAAGAAAGTTATTCAAGAAAATTATCCACATAGCTTGTCTGAGTTAGGTATGTAAATTGTAGCTGCTTAGAATTTCAAACAATTCATGATTCAATGTTTAGGGTATATCAATATCAAAGTACAACAATTGAGCTACCAATAGTATAATCTGGTCAGAATGCACAGATAGTAAAGGCTTATCATTTTGGATTCTAGCATTTGCAGCTTAACCCATTACTTCATGAGGATTTTGTGAAAAATGGCTGTTTTCATTGAAAAGTCTCCCGTTACAAGTTCAAATTGCTATAATACTATAAAAACTGCTTCAACACTAATCAAACTTGGCACAAATGTTTACTGGACCATTGCCCCTGCAACAACATGCTCAGGCTTAAATTTTCTGTTACCATGGCAACGAGGGGACATCTCAAAATTGCCAAAAATCACTATTTTGCGTTGATTTTTTCCATCAAAATTGATTTCAAAGTGCTGCAACTTCTCAATGGATTGAGATAGAGTCAAATGCTTTTCAGCGTTGGTTACACGTTACCTTATGATCAATCTGGGGTCATTTACAGCCTGTCACAAGTCCAAAATTTTCTTGGTGATGAGGGGGACTCCGCCCCCCTTCAAACCCCCCAAACAGAAGGGGGCACATCCCCCTTCTGGCAACCCCCTGATGTATCTTTTGGTTGGGGGGCCGCGCCAAAAAAGAGGTCACTTTTTTTAACAACATTTCTCAAACAAAAACAAGTGTTTGGGGCCTAAATAAGGCATTTTTTCATCATTTGAGACAACAAAAAGGGGGGGGGGGATGAAAAAGGCGTTAAAAGGCGTGTATATGAAGAAATGGGTTAAGGATTAAAAATTTGAGGCTGAGGGTTGGATACAAAGAGAGCGATTGAATGACAATGGCTTTACGACATCATTCAACTCACATGTGCAACATTTTCCAGTAGCTGCATCTTTATTTTATTAAAGTCACAAAATGCATATTAAAATTAAATGGAGAGAAATAAATACTAACAGCAAATTCTCATATTACAAATTGTTAGGTTAACTTGACAAAATCAATAAGACATTTAAACTATTTTGTGTAATCTACTTACAATGTCAATAAATTTTTCTCCAGTTCCTTTTGCGCTGTATCTATTTTTAGGAAAATGAACAGTAAGGATATTATACAGATGCATGCTGGGATATAGAGAAATCCTCGACCAATCGCAGCCCAAACATGGCTCTCGTCTGTGTATGTATACAGCTGAAACCAAAAATAGTTCATATAATTCAGATACTAGAACTTGGAGAAAAAAACATTATTTTTGTATGAAAAATTCATCTTGTTTTCGTAACAGGAAGTGGTTAGCCATACAGGCTAGTACTGCTATGTGACTTAAAAATGGGTAATACTTTTGGGTAGCAGTATGGCCCTGTACAGCTACTCACTTCCGTCATAAAAATAGCAGAACAAGAGAATATACCACATTGTTGTAATGTCTCATACTATTTACACTTTTCTGGAAAAATGTTTGTTTTTTTCAGTCACCATGGCAATGTGACTCATCAAAATATTCTTGCAATCAAGAGATGCAATCTTTTTAGTTTGTAACATATATATCACTATAGCAATATAAATATGAATAAGACAAGGTAGAACCATGTATAAAACTGTAAAGAGTTGTCTCTGATTATTTTCAGTGTGTGACAGTAAGAAAAGAGACATAACTCTGTAAAAAGGTAACTCAGAGTTATGGGACCTGTGCCTATCATGTTTGATAATCAATAACAGAATAATTCTGTGAAGTTTAAACCCATTCTCTCAGTAGTTTTGGGGACACCAACTTGCAAGTAAAAACATAACCAAAGTATGACAGCAACTGCGACGCAGGGATGAGTATCATATCATTCTCTTTCTGCTAAAATGCAAATTACAGCTGTAATTACAGCTCTCTAAATACAGGAAATGCCATTGTTTGTTGTTTTAAAGTTTGAAATCTACAACTTCACATTATAAAAAAAACTTTATTTAGAAATTCAATCACATTGAACCTTTTACATTAAAATTCCACTTAAAATCACTAATATATTTCATCCAAAAAATGTCAAACATTTGTTTATATACATGTATAACCTACCAGCATAGACATCCGTATACCAGGGCATATACCAGCTGTAGCTGCTAGTGTGTATAGCTCATGCAAGGAGAACTGTCTTTTAGACAACAAAACCCAAGCCACTAGAACCACACTGGCCAAATCACCCCACTGCAGTATGCTCATCCTATAATAAAACAAAATAAATTGAGCCGCGTCATGACAAAACCAACATAGTGCGTTTGTGACCAGCATGGATCCAGACCAGCCTTTGCATCCGCGCAGTCTGATCAGGATCAATGCTGTTCGCTACCAGTGTCTCTACTTGTAATAGGGTTGGTTAGCGAACAGCATGGATCCTGAGCAGACTGCGCGGATGCGCAGACTGGTCTGGATCCATGCTGGTCGCAAACGCACTATGTTGGTTTTGTTGTGACGCGGCTCAATTAAATAAATTGCTAATTCTACAAAATCTTCTATTATTTCCCTTGAAAATGTAAAATATCTTTATGTAATATATAAGATATTGTACATGTTATTGTCAGTATATGTTTCAATACTGCATAAAAACACAAAAAACACATGAAATAAGTATTTTCATGTAAAATCAAAAACAAGACCTATTCTCTAATTCCAACTTGTCTACTTTAAAGAAAAGTATAAAACATATAAGTTTAACCAATAACTGAAGGTGAGAGTAATAACAGCAAACATTAAAATACTACATACCATGCTGGGGTTATCTGTGGTTGGAGCACAAGAATAAGGACCCCCATGCTGGCACAAACAGTACCAACCTGCCTAGCTGCCAGAACAGAGTTTTCAGGTAGCTGTAGAGATCCAACTATTACTACACTTACGCCACTGACCATCACACTTAAGCCTACAGTCAGAAATATAAAATCTGAGATAAATTCAATTTATTTATAATATTCAATCTTCAACACTAACATGCTGGAATCAATAATACTGAAAAATGTGTTTCTTTGTATCACTAACACAGTAGAAGACAAATGGCGACTTTCAAGCTTCACTGGTGGCTGAAGACCTCTGTACATTATTTCAGGCACAAAAAAATGGGCAGCTGAGTAGAACCACTGACGTTCCGTAACCTAGCTGGATAGCTTTCTCACATGTACAATCCAATGACACATGTGCAGCTCAAACCTACAGCAGTGCGAAGCAGAAGGTTTAAAGTCAACGACCTTAACCAATCTGCCACAGACGCCCCTAAAATATAATATATTAGTCACAAATGGGCCAGTCGTTTAAAAAGACTGCTAGAAATTCTTTCTTATTAGCATAGTGTAACATATACAGATATATACAGAAATAACTCTGAACAAGAAAAAACATCCTGTTTGTGTAAAGAGTGGCGGTGTGGCCAAGTGGTTAATGTGTCAGACTAGTAATCTTAGGATTGCTAGCTGTGTGGGTTCAAATTGTATCAGGTACAAGTTGTTGTTTCCTTGAGCAAGGCACTTCATTCATTGCTTAGCACTGGTTGATTCCAAGAACACATTCAAAAGTGTTTCACTAACTTTATAGCTTCCAACACAATCAAACTAAAATAGATTTGTATAAACTAAAGCATCATTACATGAGACCTCAAATTTTGAAAGTTTTGTCTAATAGACTTGTAAGAAATTTCAGTCAGCCCTGGTTTTGCACTTGACACTGAACCACTTCATCTCCTCATCTGCCATCTCCTACTTGATGAAATACTAACTAATGTAATACTATACCTAATATATCAGTTGTGGTTGGCTCCTCCCACAATACATATACACATAACAAGTGCAGTATGGGATTGCTGTTCATTATTATGGCAACACACAAAGCAATAATGTTGTACAATACCTGTAAAAGATGAATACAAACATTTCCAATTTACTTAAAGCATAAATTTCTATTTTTCATAAGCTTGTCATTTTTGGTGTCCTGTTATAGTTTCAAAAAAGTTACTGATTGTCCATATAGCTGAGACATCTTTCGCTTCCTTTGCAATCTAGCAATGAGTATAGTTTATAGTGATTTAGTATGAAAGTCAAAATACTACTTTGTTTACATTTTGCTACCTTATTGACAAATTATTTCATTCTATGTGTCTTTAAAAGACACAACAAAATATGGCATTTTCAAAGTTATATTCATTTTTTATTGTATTAAAACACTGACATGACAAATAACAGAGGAAATGTTAAAGTGCTTGTTATGAATATGTATTAATTCATACACATGAAAACTTGACAGAAATCATATTCATTATTTCATATCATATTAAAATTGTGTTATGGATCTGCCGTGTTTTAAATATAGAATTTTCCATGGTTAATTCAAGAGATTTCAGTATTGAAACTTATACTTCTCAGTAATTAAATATAATTTCTTACATCTTTCACTTGGTGGTCAGACTGTCCCTCAAGGGAGATAATTCTGACAATGACAGCAGACAGTACATACAGAGTTACACATCTATATATGGTCAGCTCATCTTCTGTTCCTATCATGTAGTAAATGATTACAGCCAATGCCTTTGTTACATGTACAGATGAACTCACTGTTGTTGTCAAGGGAGACAACTTCTTTGATGTGAATAACCTAAAAAAGATCACATCAAAGATCATATACAACATATACAACAAAACAAATCGTTTTTATCAATATAAATAAGATTATTTAAGTTCACAATATTATAATACAATAAATGATGGGTTACCTGTGAAAAGCATAAAGCACTATAGCCGATGTTATGATGAGGAAAGATTTTGGATACAGTCCTCTACTGCAGAGTAAAACTTCACATAATGTAAACACTGTAAATATATAAAAGCAAACAAATGTATTTCACATTAAAACATCCATTTTTGTATAAATAAGACATCTTTTTAAAGTCACTTTGGTGTAACACCAGTCTTCTATCATGGTCTTTTTATTATTATGAATCAATCTTGAACCATAAATAAATGATATAAGCCAAGCAATTTACATTTACCATACAGCCGTTTTACAAGCATTTATCATATCTTATACAATAGTAAGTAGACGAAAATGATAAAAACCTCAATCCTACATGTAGCAACTTTTTCATAATGCATGGTGATAAAATGATTTAACAATTGACAAATGCTGTCAGTAGGACAGCATGCTCAATTATTCTTAGTGCTTGATGGAAAATCAAGAGGAGAGCCTGGATTAATTTAGAATTTTCTAATTTGAAAAAGGGCCATAATTCTGCCAAAAACCATGTTAGAGGTTTGAGCCTTTAACAGTAACAGTGACCAAAAGTTTCAACAAAAAATTCTCTTCAGTAGTTTTGAAGATATAAACTTGCACGTAAAAACTTAGCCGAAGTGTGAACCAACACCAAAGTGTGTACAAAAGCTCTCCCTATTCTTTTGAATAGTTGAACTAAAAACATATTCTCAATTTAAAAATGATCAGCTAACTACTCTGACCTATACTGTGTTGGTGCACTGTAAAACCAAATCAAACAAAAAGCTAATTACTCACCAGCACTCTCGGCAATAACTAGACATTCAAACACATTCTGGTTGCTATATGATGCTGCATATACACTCAGAAAACACAGTATGCAGTTAGCAAGAAGTAGAACATACAATGTCTTAATCTCTATACCAAACTGTAGCATAAAACTGTTCAGGGTTAAGGAGAACAGACAAAAATCTCACTTCTCTTGAAGCAAACATTTTTATATAATTTGTTTTAGTAACTTTATATTTCCTGGAATAAATTTGTATATGGAAGCAATTCTACATGCTACATCAGTGATCAGCAGTGGCTATGTAGTTAAGGTACATGTATTTACTTCTAAACTTTGGGATCATTGTTTCAATCCCTTATATGATAACAACCATATTAAACCATAAAACATACAAAATTAACAGTTAACTACTTCAAAAAGATGCCTTCTACAAACAGCCAGTATGAAAAGTTGTCTAAAACTAAAAAGTGGACTTCATATAAGTAAACTAGTTCATTTAAATATTAATTTTTGTCACAAATGCAAGAAAATGCACTTGTTTTGGAGGGGGGGGGGGGACGATCCAAATCCAAAACTGACTTCATAAAGGATACATAATTTTCCACGGTAACCACGTCAACCAGTACCCAAACAAAATGCAAGGCACAGGCAATAAAAATGTTGACAAACTCTGAAAAGAAAAGATTCAATAAATTAAATTTGAACTGTATGAAATGAGTCATGACAATAAAAGAACAACTATACATATTGTATTCAAATCAACTGAAGACAATTTTTTGTTATCACTTTTGATAAATACTGTATTGTCAGCATTATAATTGTTGTTGTTGGAATAAACTAAACATAAAATTTTTGTTTCTTGTGGACAAAATTTCGGTTACTTGATGTCATAATTTTGTTTACAAAAATACAAAAGTTTCATCTTCATACCATGTTAAACAATTTTGTGTGTTTTTTTTTGTTGTTGTTGTTAAAACAATGACAAGAATGGTGCAATAATGTAACAAAAGGTAACCTAACATTAAACAAGAGGGCCATGATGGCCCTGAAGTCGCTCACCTGTACATAGGCCCCCGGAGCGGGGCCAGTTTAAAGCCCGGGGCTTTTATTTGAACAATCTTGGTAGACAACCATTAGAAGATGTTTCATGCTAAACATCTAAGGTCTAGCTTGTTGGGATTTTTAAAAGAAGTTTTTTCTTTACACATATAGTTAAAAACAATGACACACCTGGGGCAGGGCCAGTTTTGACCCCAGGGCTTTTATTTGAACAAACTTTGTAGACACTTACTAGAAAATGTTTCATGCTTAATATCTAAACTCTAGCTACTCGGGTTTTTTCAAACAAGATTTTTAAGTTTTTGCTATACTCGAATAAGGAAAATCAATGTCCCCCGGGGCGGGGCCAATTTTGACTCCAGGGCTGTTATTTGAACAAACTTTGAAGACACTCACTAGAAGATGCTTCGTGCTTAATATCTAAACTCTAGCTATTTGAATTTTTTCAAAGAAGATTTTTCAATTTTTGCTATAGATTTACACATATAGGGAAAATGAATGACCTCCGGGGTGGGGCCAATTTTGACCCCAGGGCTTTTATTTGAACAAACTTTGTAGACAATCACTAGAAGATGTTTCATGCTTAATATCTGAACTCTAGCTATTTGGTTTTTTCCAAAGAAGATTTTTTAAGTTTTTCCTATACACATATAAAGAAATTTGGAAAATCAATGACCCCCAGGGCCGGGCCAATTTTGACCCCAGGGCTCTTATTTGAACAAACTTGGTAGACATCCATTAGAAGATGTTTCATGCTAAATATCTTAGCTCTAGCTCTTTTGGTTCTTTATAAGAAGATTTTTTAAGTTTTTACTATATGTATATATGGCATCAATGACCCCCTGGGGTGGGGCCAACTTTAACCCCAGGGCTTTTATTTGAACAAACTTGGTAGACATCCATTAGAAGATGTTTCATGTTAAATATCTTAGCTCTAGCTCTTTTGGTTCTTTAAAAGAAGATTTTTTTAAGTTTTTACTATATGTATATAGGGAAAATCAATGACCCCCTGGGGCTGGGCCAATTTGGACCCCAGGGCTTTTATTTGAACAAACTTGGTAGACATTCATTAGAAAATGTTTCATGCTAAATATCTTAGCTCTAGCTCTTTTGGTTCTTTAAAAGAAGATTTTTTAAGTTTTTACTATATGCATATAGGGAAAATCAATGACCCCCTGGGCGGGGCCAATTTTGACCCCAGGGCTTTTATTTGAACAAACTTGGTAGACATCTATTAGAAGATGTTTCATGCTAAATATCTTAGCTCTAGCTCTTTGGGTTCTTTAAAAGAAGATTTTTTAAGTTTTTACTATATGCATATAGGGAAAATCAATGACCCCCTGGGGCGGGGCCAATTTTGACCCAAGGGCTTTTATTTGAACAAACTTGGTAGACACTCACCAGAAGATGTTTCATGCCAAAAATCTTAGCTCTAGCTCTTTGGGTTTTTTAGAAGAAGATATTTTAAGTTTTTTCTTTCAGTTGCCATGGCAACCAGAGTTCTGCTTAGAATTAAATTCTTTGATCAATTTTTAAAGTTGACTACCAAAGGAAAAATCCTATTAAGTTCGGATGAAATTGGCTAAGTGGTTTATGAGATGTCGTTTAAAGTAAAAGTTTACGGACGGACGACTGACGGCCGGACGCCGGACGAAAAGCGATCACAAAAGCTCACCATGTCACTTTGTGACAGGTGAGCTAAAAATAGGACAGCCTATTTCTCGATTAGCAAATTAGCAATCAACACCTGTAAAACAGTTTACTCCTCTTTTGAAGAGAGCATATTGAAGAGTGCATATTTTATACACTCATGTATATTCAAAGCAGCAAGCATCTAGATTTATGCAAATTTGTAAGAAATTGTATAAATTACTCTATCATTAGTGTAGATGTTGTTAATAGTACAAGATGATTTAAAGCAATCCTAAGGTTCTTAATATTCGCAGAAATTTAACTAAGATGTAGAAAATAATCATTATTGTGTTAGTAATGGAGCGTAAATCTCATAATATGGTGTTTAACAGTAGTCGTATTTTGAATAAATCATGCAGGGTCTGATTATATTGTGTATAATTATACATGTCTTAACCCTTTCACTACCATAGGGACAGCATATGCTGTCCCTATTATTTTCGGGGTATTTGCCATATGGACGGCTTTTGCCCTTTCTTTAATAATAATAATAATAATAATAATAATAATAAATATATAGATAATTATACCATCAACAATAACTATTATATACTAGTAGATTTGCAAACATATATAAATTTTATAATACTAATAACAAATAATAATAATTATATTAATTAATAATATAGTAATTTGTTAGAAAACCTTCTGGCAAATAGGTGATCAATAAATAATTAATTCTCTGGCAGCGAAAGGGTTAAACTGTAAATATATTTCTCTTATCGTAAGTTAATTATTTTGAAAATTTCTGTAACCACCTGCAGACATGCAGGTTTAAACTATCATTAGCTTGTATATTAGCATGTTGTATATTCAAACATCTAAATGTACTTGTATATATGCATTTTCATCTGTTAATGTTTACAGATATTGATGAATGTATAACCTGTATGTAAAACATAGGACATTGTATAGTTTAAAGTAACATTATGCCCATCTAAGAGTAAATGAAGGAGTGCAAAACTGTAAAAGTCAAAATAACTTTACATTTTGCTATTATTGTGTTCAATTATATATTTTACAATGCAAAAATGACCCATAGGAAAATATAAAACTGTTGTTCAGAATGTATTTAAACAAGTGGGGCAGCCTTTTTTGTAATTTAAATATGTTTATATTTTATCCAAAACATCTTTTTATGATCAATTATTGGTGAATCATAATATGATTTTCTTTAAATGTATTACTATTTTAACTGAACTTAAGAATGAAGAAATGAGCATAGAGAAGATAATAAGATATACCTTGAACTTTTTATCACTGAGGAGGAATCCATACACGGCATACACAATAACCCCAGCTGGTAACCATGGCAGGAAATGTGAGGAGAGTTGATAATGTATTAGTACTGGATATATCAGTGCTGTACAGATGGTTCCACTGATCATTCTACCATACACTACATATTCATATTTCCAACCTGAAATGCAGGGAACCAAAAACAGTAAACTTTCACTTTTTTATCCTAGTTGATTTTAATCATTATGAAGTAACAGTAACATCTTTGTAAAGGCACATTAATAATGTTTGTACTTACATATATATACTTATTCAAAATTTGTACGAAACATATTCACCAAAGTTTCTACTTTACACTCATAAGATAAATGGAGTAATATCTACGTCCTTAATAAAACAGCCAACATGTGATACAGTATAAAATACAAAAATTACAAAAAAAATGTACTGAAATAGTTAAATTATGCAGAAAGGTCAATCAAATCTAAACATTTTTTAAAATGATACAAAAATATATTCATATTCTTTTTTTTTGGTGTTTATATACACTATGTTTTAAAATCACAATCTCATTATAAATATTTACCTGTGTAGTCAAAGATACCTCTGAGGCTCATTAAAGATGTGAGGAAAACACTCAGTGAAAATATGAACACAAGATGCATCTGTAAATAAACATAGAAATATAAATGATAATTTTGATCTAATTCTTGATTGCCCAAGTGTTTTAGTTGGTCTGATTCTTTTATGTAGAGTTATCAGCATCTACTTTACAAGTGTACTGTATATTTTACCGTTGATAAATTTAACGAAATTTTTTTATGAGATATAACTTTATACTCTTGAAGGCAAGTATTTTACAATGAATCAACTTGCTGAAATGTCATAAAACACATATTCACTACATATGACTTACAATAGTTAAAAACTTTATACAAATATTTTTTTCCAATTCCTTTCATAAAACCCCAGGCTAACAAAAAATATTATTAACAAATCTGAGTTTTAAGCAAGGGATAATCAACAAGTTAAATCTGAGTCGGTCAAGGTTTATAATAATAAGAATAGACAGTATAGATGAACAGAAACATTTTACCCACAATTCATGTGATTTTATAAATACTCACCAGAACTGTAAATGTGAACAGGTTGTTAAATGGGCCGTTGACGAAATGAAGTACCATGTGTACCAAAGATGGTGAGATACAATATACAATTGCCATGAGAAGGGAGAGAACTTCTGGTAATACACTGAGATCTAAGTCATCAGGTTTATCTTCCTTTATTGACTTGAATGATGATGTATGAGGGGTGAGAAACATCTGTAGGTATACAAAACTGAAACAACAAAATTAACACAATTTAAATCACAAAGACCAAGCTATGTTTATTTATGGTAAAGTACATACTTTAAACATCATATTAATCATTGAGCATTGAACGTACAAGAGTTCCTGAATGACATACTTCAAAAGTAAGTAAATTTTCAAAAATATAATTTCTAAATAAATATTTTTCTGATACTCTCACTTTTATAAAAACAATAAATGAAACAAGTTCTGTTTTGCTTGGACAGTATACATAACAAGAGGGCCATGATGGCCCTGAGTCGCTCACCAGAAACAACTGCTTTTCAGTGTTGGAATGTCAATATATTCTAATATCAAATTTGAGCATAGAATATGTTTAAACAATAATTTGAAGAAATGCCATGACCTGGGGTATTTAAGCTTTAGCTTAAACAGGGATAATCAAAATAATATGAGCAAACTTGATAAAAGACTACCTAAGAATGCTACAAAGTTTGGTTATTATCTTTCAATTATTTCAGTAGGAAATGATGTTCGAAGGTTTTTTCTATTTTTAGCTTTAGTGGCCCCTAAAAGGGGCTTATCAAATAAATATAAGCAAACTTGATAAGAGTACCCAAGAATGCTACAGACAAAGTTTGGTGATCATCCATCCGTTAGTTCTGTAGAAGAAGATGTTTAAAGGTTTTTCTATTTTTAGCTTTAGCGGCCCCTAAAAGGGGTCAATCAAATTAATATGAGCAAACTTGATAAAAGACTACCCAACAATGCTTCAGACAAAGTTAAATGATCATCCATCCATTAGGTTTGTAGAAATAGACATTTAAAGATATTTCTATTTTTAGCTTAAGCGGCCCCTAAAAGGGGCCAATCAAAATAATATGAGCAAACTTCATAAAAGACTACCCAACAATGCTTCAGACAAAGTTTGGTGATCATCCATCCATTAGTTCTCCAGAAATAGACATTTAAAGGTATTTCTTTTTTTAACTTAAGCGGCCCCTAAAAGGGGCCAATCAAATTCATATGAGCAAACTTGATAAAAGACTACCCAAGAATACTGCAGACAAAGTCTGGTGATCATCCATCAATTAGTTCTCTAAAAATAGACATTTACTGGTATTTCTATTCTTAGCTATAGAGACCCCTAAAGGGGCTAATCAAATTAATATGAGCAAACTTGATAAAAGACTACCCAAGAATGCTACAGACAAAGTTTGGTGATCTTCCATCAATTAGTTCTTTAGAAATAGACATTTAAAGGTATTTCTATTTTTAGCTTTTGCGGCCCCTAAAAGGGGCAAATCAAATTAATATGAGCAAACTTGATAAAACACTACCAGAGCATGCTACTGACTAAGTTTGGTAATCATCCATCAATTAGTTCTGAAGGAAAAGATGTTTAAAGGTTTTTCTATTTTTATCCCTAGAGACCCCTAAAAGGGGCCAATCAAAATAATATTAGCAAACTTGACAAAAGACTACCTAACAATGCTACAGACAAAGTTTGGTGATCATCCATCAATAAGTTCTGTAGAAATAGACATTTAACAGTATTTCTATTTTTAGCTTAAGCGGCCCCCTAAAAGGGGCCAATCAAATTAATATGAGCAAACTTGATAAAACACTACCCGAGCATGCTACCGACTAAGTTTGGTGATCATCCATCGATTAGTTCTGTAGAAGAAGATGTTTAAAGGTTTTTCAATTTTTAGTCCTAGAGACCCCTAAAAGGGGCCAATCAAAATAATATTAGCAAACTTGATAAAAGACTACATAAGAATGCTACAGACAAAGTTTGGTGATCATCCATCCATTAGTTCTCTAGAAATAGACATTTAAAGGTATTTTTATTTTTAGCTTTTGCGGCCCCTAAAAGGGGCCAATCAAATTAATATGAGCAAACTTGATAAAACACTACCCAAGAATGCTACAGACAAAGTTTGGTGATCATCCATCCATTAGTTCTGTAGAAGAAGATGTTTAAAGGTTTTTCTATTTTTAGCCCTAGAGACCCCTAAAAGGGGCCAATCAAATTAATATGAGCAAACTTGATAAAAGACTACCCAAGAATGCTACAGACAAAGTTTGGTGATCATCCATCCATTAGTTCTGTAGAAGAAGATGTTTAAAGGTTTTTCTATTTTTAGTCCTAGAGACCCCTAAAAGGGGCCAATCAAATTAATATGAGCAAACTTGATAAAAGACTACCCAAGAATGCTACAGACAAAGTTTGGTGATCATCCATCCATTAGTTCTGTAGAAGAAGATGTTTAAAGGTTTTTCTATTTTTAGCTCTGCTGACCTCTAAAAGGGGCCAATTGGAATGACATGGGCAAATTCAAGTGTGACTGTCACAAGGATGCTACAGACCAAATTTGAAGTAAATCTGCCCAGTAGTTTCAGAGAAGAAGACGATTGTTGACGCATGACGACGGACGACGGAGCATCCCCCTTTGATACTAATAGCTCACTTGAGCCTTCGGCTCTGGTGAGCTAACAAGTAATGAATCAAATCATTATTTCCTCTTATTGTTTTAGAAAACGCTAAATAAATTAATTGTGTTATATATGGCATATACATCAAATTTATCAGTTCTGACATGGGGATTACAACTCAGCAGGAAAGTTATTATATTGTAATAAAAGAATATCTTACCCAATGGCTAGGTAGACATATGGAATCAACTGCCATTTAATGAGAGCTGATGCTGTCCAAGTCAACAATGTCACACAACACCATGGATACATAGAAAATAACATACGTTCAACAGTCTGAAACATAACAAAATTAAATAATTTAAATACATCAAAGACCCTGTATATATTATATATCAACAAAAATAAAATAATCTATAGATCTATCATAAACTAGAACTATCAATAAATGTGATTAATACCCCCACAAGTCTGCTTCGGAAATGAGGATGTTACTAGTAACAGAATACCTTGTAAAAGAATTGAAACATAGAGTTATGGTTGTGGGCAATTAAAGGATAATTGTGGTTCATGTTATGTGCATTTCCTTTCAATGTGGTTGGCCATTGATTGAAGTTTAAATTGAAATTACTCTGTAATAAGTCCAGAAAGACAAAGAAAAAGAACAAAGGGCAATAACTCTATAAAATACTGAAGATAGAGTTATAGTTCTTGTGCACTGCACTTCCTCTTATTGTGCTTGACCATTGTATGAAGTTGTTTTTGGATTCCAACCAGTACGTTTTAAGTTATGCTCAGGACAAGGAAAAGTATCAAAGGGCAGTAACTCTGTATTTTGTCAAATGGAGTTATGGCTCTTGTGCACTGCACTTCCTTTGAATGTCCTTGACAACTGTATGAAGTTGTACTGAATTCCAAACCAGTAGTTTTCAAGTTATGCTCTGGACAAGGAAAAGTAACAATGGGCAATAACTCTTGTAATTAGTCAAGATGAAGTTATGGTTCTTGTGCACTGCACTTCGCCCTTATATGTGCTTGACCATTGAATGAAGTTGTTTTGAATTCCAACCAGTAGTTTTCAAGTCATGCTCTGGACAAGGAAAAAAGTAACAAAGGGCAGTAACTCTGTAATTAGTCAAGATGGAGTTATGGTTCTTATGCACTGCACTTCCTCTCAATGTGCTTGACCATTGTATGAAGTTATAATGAATTCCAACAATAAGTTTTCCAGTTATGGTCCGGACAAAAGAAAGCAATGGAAAAAGTAACAAAGGGCAATAACTCTGTAATTAGTCAAGATGGAGTTATGGTTCTTGTGCACTGCCACTTCCCCTTATTGTGCTTGACCATTGAATGAAGTTGTTTTGAATTCCAACCAGTAGTTTTAAAGTCATGCTCTGGACAAGGAAAAGAAACAAAGGGCAAGTAACTTCTGTAATAAGTCAAAATGGAGTTCTGGTTTCTTGTGCACTGCACTTCCTCTCAATGTGCTGGACCATTGTATGAAGTTATAATGAATTGCAACAATTAGTCTTCAAGTTATGGTCCGGTAAAAAAGAAAGCAATGGAAAAGTAATAAAGGGCAATAACTCTGTAATAACTTTAGATAGAGTTATGGTTCTTATGCACTGCACTTCCTCTCAATGTGCTTGACCATTGTATGTAGTTATATTGAATTCCAACCATTAGTCTTCAAGTTATGGTCCGGACATAAAAAAAGAAGGCAATGGAAAAGCAACAAAGGGCAATAACTCTGTAATTACTTTTTAGAAAGAGTTATGGTTCTTGTGCACTGCATTTCCCCTTATTGTGTTTGACAATTGTATGAAGTTGTTTTGAAATTCCAACCAGTATTTTCAAGTTATGCCACGGACAAGGAAAAGTAACAAAGGGCAATAACTCCTGTAATTAGTCAAGAATAGAGTTATGTTTCTTACGCACTGCACTTCCTCTCAATGTGCTTGACCATTGTATGTAGTTATATTGAATTCCAACCATTAGTCTTCAAGTTATGCTCCGGACAAGGAAAATGCAACGGACAAAAAAAAAAAGCAATGGAAAAGCAACAAAGGGCAATAACTCTGTAATTACTTTAGATAGAGTTATGGTTCTTGTGCACTGCACTTCCCCTTATTGTGTTTGACAATTGTAAATGAAGTTGTTTTGAATTCCAACCAGTAGTTTTCAAGTTATGCCCCGGACAAGGAAAAGTAACAAAAGGGCAATAACTCTGTAATTAGTCATGATAGAGTTATGGTTCTTGTGCACTGCACTTTTCCTCTCAATGTGCTTGACCATTGTAATGTAGTTATATTGAATTCCAACCATTAGTTTTCAAGTTATGCTCCGGACAAGGAAAATGCAACGGACGTCTGGACCGACCGACCGACCCGAGGGGCCGACCGACCGACCACCGGGTGACTCCTATATACCCCCCCCAAACTTCGTTTTTGGGGGTATAATTATACAAATGTGTAAGGATAAAATCTCATATTTTCTGTATATAATTTAAAATGCTAATTTCAGTTCAAAGTAGCTTTCAGCCTTCTTAAGCAGCATTTATTATGCATAGATACAAAGGAAGTGATGTAACATCACGGAATGACACCTGGATTGGCACTGTTTGCCATTACATTCCCCATACAGTGTTCACCCTGTAAGGCCGATATATTTCAATTTTTTTTCACAGATTTTTTATTGTTACTTTGTACAAGTCACTCCTGTGTAATTCTTTCTAGCCACATAACTGGAAATTACTTATTATGTGTTAGGATATATATGATGTGACTTGAAAAGATAACTTGTGATAAAAGTCAGTAAGAAAACCTTGATGCACTACATCTATATAGCTCTTTTGAAATTTACTAGAGTGCATCATGCTTAGCATTTTGTGGGATTACTAAAATACTCACAAAAAATTTAAATAGGAAAAATAGCAAATGGGGTGGTAAGACTTAGTTATGCAAAGGAGAATAAGATTCTTGGACAATGTAGTCTTCCTTAATGTGATCTATCAATGTATGATATTTCAAGTTGATATCTCTAATACTTATCTCTAATTCTTCAGTATTGATCTGATTAAATGTGAAAAACACAAAGGGCAATAACTCCAACATCATACAAAAGAGAGTGATGATTCTTAAACAGTGTGCTTCTTTTAATCAGATGCTGTGAAATTTCAAATTGATATCTTTAATACTTTGAGATATACCCTGGACAAAATTTTAGTATAACTAGAACTCCGCGAGTCGGATGTGTCGCCTTGTGAACAATGTAGTTTAGGAGAAATGGCCAGGACAAAAATGAAATATGAAAAACAACAAAGGGCAATAACTAAAAAAATGATAAGTGCAGAGCAGCATATCTGTGCACTGAATTTCTTTATCAATAAGATCTATCATTCTATGATGTTTCAAGTCCATAGCTTTCATACTTGAGGAGAGAATGACCAGGACAAAAAATAAAGTAAGAAAATCAACAAAGGGCAATAACTCAAAAAATAAGAAATGCATAGTATCAGTTCTAATGCACTGCACTTTTTCTTAATGAGATCTATCATCCTATGAAGTTTCAAGTCCATAACTTTTATACTTTCGGAGAAAATGGCCTGGACAAAAAATTAAGTATGAAAATCAACAAAAGGCATAACTCAAAAATTAAGAAAATGCAGAGTACCAAATCTTGTGCACTGCACTTCTTCTTAATGGAGACCTATCATCCTATGAAGTTTCAAGTCCATGGCTTTTATACATTAGGAGAAATGGCCCGGACAAAAATAAAGTATGAAAATTAACAAAGGGCAATAACTCAAAAATTAGGAAGTGCAGAGTACCGGTTCTTATGCACTGCACTTCTTCTTAATGAGATCTATCATCCTATGAAGTTTCAAGTCCATAGGCCCTTTTTTTAGTTTTGAAGAGATATGGCCCCGGACAAAATTAAAGTATGAAAATTAACAAAGGGCAATAACTCAAAAAATAAGAACTGCAGAGTACCGGGGCCCTGTTGCCACTGCACTTCGGGTTATTGAAAGAAGCATGCATACCAAGTTTGAAGTCAATCAGACTTTATAGTGACTGAGTTTTATGCTCCGGACAAAAGCTTTAGGGGACGCCGACGACGACACCGACAACAAACGCCAAACACAGACGCCGCCGACGACGCCGGGGGCAACGACGAAAGTAACCCCTAATATGCACCTTTTTTCAAAGGCGGACACAAAAAATTAAATATGAAAGGGAATAAACTCCAAAAATTATTGCAAAAGACAAGTTGTTTGGTTCAAATTACAATTGCCTTTTGCCTTACATTGTGATCTATCAACCTTAAAAAAAGTTTCAATTAAATACCTGCTATACTTTTTAGTTATGCCTGAACAAACATAAAGTATGGGAAAAAACATTGCAAAAGGCAAATAACTGCAAAGGGGGCAACATCTCCACAATTTTGCAAAAGAAAGTAAATGATTCTTAGGCACAGCACCTTCTCAATAATTTTTGAAAAATTTAAGTTTTAAGTTCTAAACTTAGTTTTATGGTCCATTCAATTCTGCAACAGATAATTTGGTGATGGACACAGGACAGATGGACGAACCGATGGACAACACCAGACCTATATTCGCTCCATCTTCCACAGAGGATAATATGGATATTAAGACAGTGTTTGATCAAATTAGAACTACAGGTAGCTAACTTGAGAAATAATGAAAATACTTTCATCACAAATCAATGAAATGAATATACACCAACTATCAACCATTTGAGGTAAAGAAGCAGATACTCTAAATAATTTATCAATTGATATTGGCGGTACTGTATATATACCATCTGATGACTTGTATCACTGCAATACCAAAATGCTAATGTTACAGAACAATTATCTACCACTAAAAGTAAAGAGGCAGTTCATCTTTTAAAAATTATCATTATTATTATTACTGGGCAGTATCGTAGGAAATGAAAAATTATAATTATTACAGGAAATGAAATAATAGCATAAGGCATACCAATGAAAGTTTTTGTTCATATTTTCTGAAGTAGTTGAACTGTAGAGCTATCAAGCCCCCTGTGAGTATTACATACATGTTGATTATACCAATCAGGAAAATGTTGAATAATGATAACCTGAAATAAAAAAATAATAATTAAAACAGAAATAAGTTATGCATTGCAATTTTTTACAATTGTGTTCAAATGCATTACATTACATTCCTTTATTATTATATGTGCTGGTTGGTCTGATTTTACATTAGCTGATAAGCCTGTCGTGTTGTAGTCAGCATTCTATGATCACTACAGTAAGAATCACACAAATGATCACAACAATATTTTACTTAACAAGCAAATTCCTTGAATTTATATCCCCCGCCGAGTACTGGTTATCATTAACACAACAACTGAAGACATAAGGCTTTATTTATATATTAATCATGGCATAAACTGTAACATTCTTTGAACTTGAAGCCTTGTACCTTCAAACAAGAAGAAGTTTTCACTATATACATATAAGGAAAATCTATGACCCCCTGGAGTGGGGCCAATTTTGACCCCAGTGCTAAAATTTGAACAATTTTGGTAGAGGACCTATAGGTTATATCATTTATACCAAATATCAAAGCTCTAGGCCTTGTACTTTCAGACAAGATTTTTTAATTTTGCATTTTTGAAACTCCTTTTCTGGCCCTGTGACCTACTTATGCAACAGACCGGATCCATTTGATCAAATTTGGCAGGGCGGACCACCCTAGGATCATTCCTGTAAAGTTTGGTTGCTGTGCAGGTCATTTGTTTCTGAGGAGATGTTGTTTAAAGAAATTGCTGACGACGCACGACGACGACGGTGGGGGATCAAACAATAGCTCACCTAGATGTAAAAAACATCTTAATCTCCAGACTTCATTGCCATTTCAAGGCATCAAGAAGGGACTCACAATTTTTCAAATAAGTTGAAAATTGCAAAATTTTACTAAGTTAAGGGCAATAACTCTAAAAATAGTAAAAATATCCGGACGAAAAATACCTAGGTGCACAACTACACATACTGATCAACATTCTGAAAAGTTGCTGACTCCTAGGTCAAATACTTTTTGATTTACATGCGACACAAGTTGAAAAATTACAAAATTTTACTAAGTCAAGGGCAATAACTCTTAAATACTAAAATATCCAGATGAAAATACCAGGTGCACAACTTCACATGCTGTATGAACCGATCCCATAAAGTTTCATTGAATTCCAGCCATTAGTTGCAGAGAACTACTCCGGAAACGAAATTCGGACGTTTTACTAAGTCAAGGGGCAATAACTCTAAAAATACTAAAAATATCCAGACGAAAATACCCAGGTGCACAACTTTCACATGCTGATCAACATTCCCATAAAGTTTCGTTGAATTCCAGCCATTAGTTGCAGAGAACTACTCCGGAAACGAAATTCGGACGTTTTACTAAGTCAAGGGCAATAACTCTAAAAATACTCTAACTAAAATATTCAGACGAAAAATACCCAGGTGCACAACTTCACATGCTGATCAACATTCCCATAAAGTTTCGTTGAATTCCACCCATTAGTTGCAGAGAACTACTCCGGAAACAAAATTCGGACGGACGGATGGACGGACGGACGGACGGACGGACGGAAGGAAGGACGGAAGGACGGACGGACAACGCCAAAACTATATCCCCCTCCCGATTCCATCGGCGGGGGATAATAAGTAACAAGTTTACTCATGTAACATCAGTTCTGTCATCTCCCAAAATAATATTTAATTCCAAAACAATTCTTTTTTTTTCTTCATATGCTTCAGTAAAAACTTTATACAAATCAAAATATTCATTACTTTGCATGTCTCGTATGAAATTCTGAATTTATGTTAGTTCATATTTCATTATTTAACCACTGATTACACATAAAGCTAAGTCATGTAGGCTTACCATAACAATGGAAGGATGGAGTAGATGGTAAAAGCATGACAAAACACAAACAGTAGAGTGAACAGTATCAGGCATCTGTAATACAAAGAAACAATTTTATACATGTAGCATGCCAGGTTTTAACATGACAATAATTCTATTAACACTAATAGCATGAAAATATTCAAATTGTGACTTTTTAAGTTAGTTTTCACAAATTCAGTCACTCAAACACTATAAAGATCATTATCTTTCCAGTCCCCCACCCTCCACAGGTGCCCCTCCAGGCAGTATTTCAGGCAAAAGTGGGCACAAGTGTAGTCACTTACTGACGTTGGATAGCTGGATGGATAGTTGGCTGCACATAAAAGCTAAAAAACAAAGAAGAGAAAACTTGACTTATTTTGTGGACTCTATCAATGAATGCTATTGACAAGGTTTTTGAAGTTTAATCATTTTGAATGGTTTTAAGAAAATATGTTTACAACTACCTTTTCTTTTCACCTTTGGGGTCCAGAATCACAATCACTCCTGCACCAAAACTTGCAGCCATCAAAAATCTGTTATCAAATAAAAACATTAATTATATACTCTTCCTTCATGACAGGATTTCAATAAAATTAATATAAATACCTTTCTTAAATCTGACTAACTGAAACTGTGGATCAAGAATGCTATAAAATGCTATAAAATTATAAATGTTTTATTCAACTTTGATCTGAAAGATCATAACAATCAAAAAGACTCACATTTCTCCCACTAAGGTCATAACCATCACTGCACATGGTAATGATACAATTATCATTTTCCTGTTATATTTAAAAGGTCCAGGGTCTGTCAAAGGTACGCGATCTGGGAAGTCATCATTATCTTCTCTATCAGCACCATAATCACTGCCTGAATCACTGTCTTTCTGTAGGGTTATAATCAAAGGGGTTTAAAAATCAACTCATTAACCCGGTACCCCCGCCCGCTGAACAAAATTCCGTGCCCCCCTTCAGGGCCATTTTGAAAATTCTAACTAAAAAACATTCTGGGTGAGACCAAAACGAAAATAACAAAAAATAGTTTACTAATAAACAATGACAAAATATGTCACAACACAAGTTTTCCAAGGGGTTTAACCCCGGGTTTAAAATAATTGAGGGAAAGTTAAAAATTTCCACAGGTGAGTTTTGATTTTTACTTTCACATTAAACAAGAGCTGCCAGTAAAATATGGCACTCAACTATTCTCAATGCTTGATAGTTAAACAAGAGCCTGAATAATGTAGGAATGAAGAATTTTTTTTTTAGATACAAGACTTTTCATGAAAGAATTTACAAAAGGCCATATATATTTCATTCAAAATTCATTACAAAAGTTATTGGCCTTTAACAGTGACCTCAAAAATGAACCCATAGATAAAAATGTGTATACATTCAGAACATATAGTTTTAAAGATTGTCTGATCATTGATGTTGCTTGCAAAATATTAACCAAAATTTTCTATGTTCACAGAGTCAAACTTCTGACAGTCAAAATCCATGCCAGAGCTATAGGCCTTGGACAGTGACCTCCAACCACAGTATTCGAACTATAGTATATTATAGTCACAAATACATGTATAAATCAAAGCACAGAAGGTGCTGAATTTGTTTGGGTCTCAGAATGTCAGAAAGGTGAAGGTTGTGAGATTATAAACCAATTTGTTTTTGTATAGTGCCACCAATGCTTCCCAGTGTTTTAACTGTAGTAAATTGGCTATAAGTCTAATTGCAACACTGATATTCAATTCAATGTTTATTTGACTTAAACAATTTAAAAAAAATGAGTTGCCTTAACTGGGATTTGAACTCCAGACCTCTCGATTCCTAAGCAAGCGTGCAAACACCTTGGCCACGGTGAAGTTATATGTTAACGGCCTGAAGAAAACCATATCATTCTAAATTAGGGTTTGTAACTCTTATTATTTCGACGCTAAACCTGTTGTTTAACACAGATGTAAATAATCATGGAGCTTACTATAAGCATGTATATCTATAAAGAATAAAACAATATTAGAAATCTTTGACCATTCGGGAACTATTTTGCTTGAAAATTAATGCGCCTGTCATTTTACAATCTTTACGCAGTGATCTCCCCTGAATTTTTCGGCGTTAGTGTACAATCGTATAAAGGGAAATAACCTCTTCAAAAAAGCCGACTACTTTCGGCATTTGCAATTAAATTATTAACAGCATCAGGGTCTGAAATTTCGCTACCATTATTTGTTTGGTCTGACGACCCAAACAAATAAAAATCAAGAGAATACCTTCAGGATGTTGCATGCAAAAATTTTAAGTTTTTTACCAAGAATTTTAATTTTACAATGTATGTTTACAGACTTCCTGAAAGTTGAAAAAAACTGTCAGACATTCGGTCTGACAAACCATGAAAATCTGTCGGACCAAAACGAAATCTGTCAGACCGAATAAAATTGATCAAAATCAAAGAAAAACTTGTTTTTGTATTTCTAAGACACTTTTTGGTTTTAATTTTTTCGCCGTAAAAATCGGCACATTCCGTATAGCGCATTTTCATCTCCTCCCTGTCATACACCAACGATTCATGGTCCTGCTTCCATTATTCCTTAAATTTTGTTTCAGGTCTGTTCTTTTCATCCTTTTACTGCTGATTTGTGCGCTCCTCTGACGTAGATTTTCGATTTTTCCCAGGTTTGGCACCTTTAGCGACACCATTTTGAATAAATGCTACTTGTATAAAAGCCGGACAGTCGGACCGATCCGGAATAAAAAATCGTCGGACCTGATCATAATTTATCGGACATGTCTGTCGGACCGACGTATTTCAGGAAGTCTGTGTTTACAAAGGACTGTATTTTATTGTAACTCTATGTCAAGAGTTATGGGCCTTATTTTTGGGTTTTATCAGGTTATCTTCCACAGGTTGTCAGATGATTTATTAAGGACGGTGCTCCCATTAATTCATATGCTTTTGTCACCCATTAATCCATATGCTTTTGTATGTTTCCCTCTTATGGAAATGTTACACACAAGGCCACAAACTATATATAACTTAAGTGGAGCATAATTTTTTCATGTTGATCTACAAAAAATGATGCTTTTAGAAAAAAAATCTTATTTTGGAGGAATCTAAATACAAGTTACGATAAATAAAGTATCAAAGTAAATATTTAACATATATAGATCAATAGGCAGATAGCTATAAGATCTAGCTCCTTAAAATATAATTTAAATGTGTCAAAACTGGGTGGGGTACTGTACAATAACAGCATTACGTAGAGCGAGAATTATGTGCAGCTCATAAAAGGTTCTCTTTTGACTAACCTAAACTAAACATTCACCAAAAAGTACAATTATACTGCAGAAGTGTTAATAGTTATGCTACACATTATCACGTCATAGGAGTGAATAAATAAACTTACAGGATTTTCAATTGAACAAATCTGTAGTGGGAATTCCCACTCGATATGTTTAAAACGTCACAAGGAATCTCCCGCAAAATTGATGACGTTCTCGGGATGGTGGTAACATGGCGGCTGTTGGGTGCAAACTGATGGAACGGAAAGATATGGGTGAGAAAAATGTCACAAAGTTAGCATTATCGTGCAAAAGAAATGGAATAAATCATGGCTGTTACTGTGAAGAAAAGATGGAAACTAGGAATACTTGCAGATCTCAGTTATTTGACAAACTGCTTAAGATAAACGGCAACGTAAAGGCGAACAATAACAACTGTTTTCCCCGTCCGTCGGTCCCTTCTTTAAGATCTCGCCGTGAACGGCATTCTTCCGGACCAGAAATTGTTAAAAGACGACGTAGGTCATCCAGACATGATTCAGGAGATATGAAGTCTGGGTAAGACATTTGCTTTTCGCTTTTCTTTTTTGTTATTTTGCAAAATTTGCACATGTTTCACAAAGCCGAAAATCTATTGTTTAGAATCGAGGGGGCGTCTCAAGGTTGCCTTTGAAATAAAGATATTTAAAATAAATGCTTGTTACTTAGAGAAAGATCAGATTTTTTTTTGTGTAAATGTATTAAAAAAATATGAAATTATATTTAAAAGTTTAATTACAAATGAGCAATTTATTAATTAGTATAAGCATATATCCAGTTCTCAAAATTACCTAAATTATTTTTGAAAGAACACACCACTTTCCATACTAGATATGTCTTGTATGCTCCATTGAAATATTGTACATTCCTATCACAAAGTGAAAAAAATGTTGTAGCTATTAAAACTTAATGGTAGGTTATATATAAAATTTGACCCTTTTATAGTATATAAACCATTTGAAAGTAAAAACTTTAATCTATTGCTGTATGTTAAAATAATGGTTACTTACTATGCCTATCAGTTAAAATAATGAAGCAGAACATACTGACATATAGATATAGTTAAATAAAATAAAAGCTAATAAGTAGTTCTCTTCAAATAATGATGTATCATTCATTTAGATGGGAACTGTAAATGTATTTAAAAGCTTTCAGAAAATGTACTATTTTACTGTATTTTGATATATGTACTATTTTACTGTATTTTGTCATTTTGATATCTGGTTAATAAGTTTTACTTGCTACAAATTTTAAGTTTAAAGCAAGTACACATGAAACTTGGGCTAGGAAGTTGCTATCTCTGTCATAGATCTATGTCTGTGACCATAGCCATACTTTTCTGTACCTTTGTCTTACAACAATCCTAAAATCCCTACATTTTAAATTGCCATAAGGCCATCCTTAAAAAAATGTTTGTTTGCAGTAACCGGACCCAGAATTTTCAAGGTAGGTAGGTAGGTCGATTTTTTTTTTTTTTTTTTTTTATTGAACTGTACTCCCAAATAAACATGGAATTTCAAAATGCTGGACAAAATATGCTTTGATAATCTGGTAACAATTAATAAATTGATAACTGAATTCTAATTTAATAAGAACTACATTTTATTTCTTCTATTAACCTTTAAAAGAACGAAAACAAAACACAAGGCATAATTTTCTGATTCAAAAAAAATATTTTTTTTATCCAGACCATGAAAAAAAATTTGAGTAGGGGCAAATTTTGTGAGTCGGTCGCATTACTGCAAACGAACATTTTTTTAAGGATGGCCTAACTTTGTCAAATATTAAACAGAAACAGTTTAGTCATTTTGATGTTGATAGTTACCTACTTTTGGCCTACTTTTTTAAAAACAGTATTTTACTTTTTTAGTTGTTTTACAGATAAAAAAAGGGGGGTCTTAAAACAAAGTGTTTTATAATCAATTCTAAAACGTTTGACAATATAGTGGTGGCGTGGCTGAGTGGTAAACACATAGATCTATCAGACTAATTATAATATAAATGGAAGATTTGCTGACCATGTTGGTTCAAACCCATCAGAGGCAAGCCATTATTATCTTGGAAGAAACTTTACACTCCTTGCCTTAATGGTACTGGTTGGTTTCAGGAAAGAATTTGAGAATGTTTTGAACACATTGTATAAATTAAAGTCTATTAGTTTAATAGAACTGTCCTAAAATTTTGCACATATTTACAGCTTACCAGGCATTAAGTTTACTGTAACCTGTTTATATTATATTTTCAACAGTTAATAAATTTATTCATTTGCATAGCATAAAAATAAATTAAAGACTGTTTTTAGTTTTTTATTATTTAACATTTTTTTGGTCATTATTGTCAATTAATTTCTTACTGTTACAGTAAACAACATGATGAAAATCTTTATCAGAGTCTTGTTTTACTTATATAAAGACTACATAGATGTACCTAAACATCTCAATTTGGAGCAATTTTTAAAAAGCATTTGCAGAAAATATTGTGCAGGAATTACCTTTAAGAGATCATCTTCAGCGCCAAACTCCTCACAGTGATTACCTCCCTTGGCAGAATTGTAATCACTGCCTTCAAAGACGTCACATGATGATGAAAGTCACATGACGTAACGTCGAAATTCAAATGTAAATATCGACCGTTACAAAGAAAATCTAACGTTATTTTTCTCTTTCTGTTTTATTTTTAACTTTTAGTGCCTACGTTCGATATAGTTGATCAAAAAATTATCGAAAGTATACAAAATAACGAAAAATAAATTCAAAAGCTAAAAAATATAAAATATCAAAATATCGTCTCGGTAGAAAATAATCTCATATTTTTTTAACTTATTTCTAAATATTAATATTATTTATTTATTTATTCACAAACATTGTTAAATAAATGAGAGAAAACTTATCTGCTAGATAAAAGCAGTAGATAAAACAATTTTTGAAAAAATATAGTATATCAGAAATTCTGATATATTGGGACCTTGGTGGCAGAGATCTATGCCGAAGAATTAAGGGGAGATCACTGCGTGGAGATTGCTTCAGCGCATGTGTTGATAGAAAAAAGTCAATTAAAAAGCTGAGATTTTTTTTCTTTATTTACTTCAAACCTTTCCCCCATATTAAAAAAATACATGTTGTTTGTGTTTCTCATGTTTCAACATATTTAAGATATTGTTTCAACTTATTTAAGATATTGATTGATACCTTGAAAAAACAAAAGAACTTAATAAAGAATATCTCAGAAATGCCGTAACAAATCAGTTCATAAATAAAGGTGAAACGATTATAAAAACTTTTAGTACGAAGATAGCATTTGTTTGAGTATGGCAATCATCTCATGCGGAAATAGTAAAATCTAATATAAGGCAGTCTTGTCAGATTTTGAAGAATAAAAGTTATTGATCCTGAAATCTTTTCAATTCCTTCCTATTTAGATTTTATGAGCAAGATTGAGATCTAGAGTTCCAGACATCTGTGTCACAAATAAAACAGTATTGGTGTTAGTATTTTATTGAAGGAATATGTCATGAATAGGGAAATTTAAAATGACGAGAATCTCTGTACAATAATGTAACTTGAACCATCAAAGGTATTGTTGAAAATTTTAAACAAAGAAAGGAACTTCCTATTTGTTTTATCAACAAACAATTCAAAGTTTAACAAATCATATCAAATCGTATAACTTGAACCCTTAGAACTCAAATCTAACTTTACCTAATTTTTTGAGGGGTAAATGCTTCTCTCAGCCTTTATTCTTGAAAAGGAGATCAAAATATGAGCTGGTAATTTTGCCCTATTTAGCATTATGACTTTTGACAAAGCCTTTTATCAAAGGTGTATCAATTTACCGTTTCAAACTATCTCTTTACATGTGTATTGCATTATTTAAATTGGAATGAACATGCAAAATTTGTAAAGCAGATATATTTGAATCAATTCAAACATTGTCCCATGTTTATCTTGTTTTTAGATTTAAACAATTTTATTATTTTGTGTATGTTGATAAAAGTATAAATGTAATGCATTTTAGCTATTAATTATTGAACTGTAAGAATTGCACCAATGCTAGGATAATAGATTTAAGTGTATACCTCTGTCTCAGTCATAATAACTTTACATTTAAACTTTAGAATTGGAAATATGTGACCATAATGGCATTATTGTATTGAGCAACATTTAAATGATTAAGAATCAGTGCTTTTTGAAGCGTTACTGTGTTGAAACATTATTTTTATGACCTTTTAAGTAACCAATTTGAATTTGGTGTGTTAAATGCCAAAAATTATGAGTACATGTATATGTATTTTCAATGCATTGAATACATTGTATTATGTGTATTGAATATTATCAGAGCACATTTATTATAGTGATAAGCTTGAGCTATTGTTGTTGTCATAGAAATGAATGAGGTCGTATTAAGAGGACCATGCCCGATGTCAGACTGATGATAAACTTTGAAATGTTTATTTCAATCTTTATTAAATGTAAGGGGCATATTTTCTATCTTAAATATGCAATGTTTTAAGCTCTGATGTTCTGTATTTGAGACAAGCTTGGCAGGCATATATTGGTTTTCTCTGCTTCATTACAGTTTCTGCATTGTCACTGACCCAAATATAGGCCAGTAGGTCACTGGAATCAACTACAATTGTTATCAGCTAAAACATGATATAAGTGTGTTGAAAACCTCATTTGATTAAATCAGTAGCTGCTTAGTAAAGAGAGATCTATGAATGCTTTATTATTGTTTCCAGTCCACTTATTAACTAACATTATGTTTAATGTGCCTTATTAAGTTTCTTTGCCAATACAGGTAATTCACTCTGTACTTTTACGCTTGAAGAAATTTAGATCTTTTTAAAAGAATATGTCATACAAATTAAAAGCGCCTTTGATTTTTTTGTTTAAAAAATTCATTGCTAAGCAAGAGGGTTACAATAACATGGTCTCAATTATGAATTACTTCCTCTTTTTATCCACAGCATATTTACTTTAGACATAAAGATCTGATCTGACATAGTACTTTTAATTATAGATTGTTGAGTGTCTTTACACCTCTTGCATAATTATCTAAGAAGCATTGAGAGCTTCGTTTAGAATTGATCTCTGTTCTTATGTTTTGATGACTCATACAATCAATTCAATTTGTGTATATATATTAATATGATATATTGTATTTATTTGATAATTTGTGATTTATGATGCTAACTATTCGATAATTTGTGATTTATGATGCAAACTATTACTAATATTTCAACAACAGATTAGTGTTTCAGTTTGTAATTATATTTTTTGGTAGATAATGCAAAGCACACTTTTATAGCTTCCTAAATATGCAAGTAGTCAAAGCCACAGTTGCTCTGCAGGATTACTCTGTATGTTGAAAGTTCCATGTAAATTCATTTTACACTGCTTAGTATGATAATCATGTTACAGAGTCCTGCGTTTTATTTGGAATGGCTTATTGGTAGTGACAGACCAAAGTGTCGAGAATGAAGCATGCCAGCAGGTTAGGTATTTGGTCAAACTGCTAGCCAGCCTCTTTACTTGAAATGAATGAAGGAAAGGCTTAATATTAGTGCATGTGCACTCAATATGCATGAGCACTCATGGAGTAAAGTTAAACTTAGTGATATCAAGTTGTAATGTACCATGTTAAGTACTGTTTAAATCAATATTCCCTGAGAACTTATAAGGCCTAAAATAAAATTTAATTTGTTTCCCCTTTCCCCTAAAAAGTAAATTTTCAAGACTGTGAGCACATCCCAAGTGGGATTTAAACTTAAAGTGAGGGCATGGATCATCTGTCTCAAAATGTATTGAAGAATTTTGTTATATAATTTCAATCTTTACATCATAGGGTTAATGACCAGTTGTCCGTCAACATTGCTCTTACTGATAATTTGTTCTAACATAGAAAGGTTATTGGCCTTTGTATTATAATACAATGAGAAATAGTCATGTCCATAATGTTATTATGGTATAGGTTTTTGTTTCACTGAGAATATTGTCTTCCATTTTGATTAGTGAGCAGATATTAGCTGTAAATTTTTACTTAATATTCATTATTGGCAAAAATCTTGTAATTTCTTAATTTTCTTAAGAGCTAATAGTTTCAATCTATTTATATAGATAATAGAGGGTAGTTATCACTTCTCTCAAAAACTTTAGACTGTAATCATCCCTGCATGATTTTCAAATGTTTGCGGAATCCAAAATTTCTAGACTGTTTCACCCAGTTATCTTCTCTTTCAGTTCAATATAAAAACTGCTTCATTAAAAATTGACAATAAAAACATGCTGGCCCAGTCTAGACTAGGTCAGACAAAAACAAAACATTAATTTTTTCTTATCAAACTTAAAGGGGCACTGTTGCTATAAGAGAGGCAGGTTTTATGGGGAGACATATTGATCCAGTCTAGGCAAATCTGGGAGACATTACCACTGCGCTGAGATCTAAATTGTTCAAAAGTAGGAGATATAGTGAAGAAACTGCTCTATGACTGCTTTTGTCTGTTGCTGCAGTACTGTATAGACAGAATTACTGTCACACTTCATCAGAAACTGACTTACAATTTAAATGGTCAGCAAAATTATATAAATTGCATTTAAAGATCTTTGTTTTACAATATTTTAAGACTGCATTTTTTTAAAAAATTTCTCTGATCACTGTATGCAGCTCTATAAGTTGTGTCGGAACAATTTTTTGTTGTCATAAATGATCTAAAGTATAGATTTATTTAAAGATTATTGTATGATTTTGTTTAAGGGGTTTATTAAAGGGTTTTTATATGTCAGACAACTTCTCACAACATTTTATATGGTAAGTGATTGTGTCATAGGCTATAGACACTGAACAAACATATACTTTAGGCTACGTGGTACCGGTAATTAAGGAAGCTAAATAAAGGAATTATTCAACCCAGCCCCACTCTGTTTACTACAGCGACAGGTATTTTAGAAGTTGGTAAATCTGGGAGAAAAATAGCAACAAATAAACATTTAATTCTGTGCATTGTGCATATTAGACTCTATTCAAGTAATACTGTTTGAAATGAAATCATGATACATTTGTAAATATATCTGCATGGTTTTGTACAACAGGTAAATCAAACTTATTCTTCCACACTCTCAACAATTAATAATGCATGATAACATTAGAGTTGTTTTAAACCAGTAGCTTGAATATTATCCAGTAATATGTTGGTGTCTGCACAATAGAAAGTAGTGAATGCATTAAAGACCCTAGTCAACTAAGGTATCTGAGAATCAGAGTTGCAGAAACTTGATATCTGAACAAAATGCTCACAATTGCATTGACTTATTGATTCACTGTAAACATATGATCTTTGTTATCCCTAAGGTATTCATCACCACCAACTCTCTCCTTTGACAAGAGTTCATAAACTCCTTTTTCTTTGTGTGTCTCTATGCACTTGTCAGTATTCAATTTCTGTTACTATATTGAGGCAGTAGGTCATATGAATACATCTGTTTTCATGATTTTTTTTTTTTCTGTTCTTTTTTTTTTGGTCGGCAAATGTAAACACAACATGCATGTTTATAGGTATGTAGGTCAGGTAAAGATATGTAAATCTTTGCATATAAATAATCTTCGTTATAAACTACTGGTGTCTTATAAACACAATTAATGTCATGCAGTTTAAACTTAAGCCTGCATTGTGACATTTGGAAATTGGGTTCATTTGTAATGTAGAAATGTTACATACAAAAATTTGCTTGGATATTTTTTAATATGCGGTTGAAGTCAGTTAGTCAAAGTTATAGTTCTTCGTCAATATATTGGTATGAAAAAGTGCCTGTGTGTTACATGTAGGTTAAAAATCAAAGACTGAAGTTTTTAGATTAATGATGTAGATTTTTCCTCCCTCAATATGTTTCTAGAATAAAATGTGCAAAACGTTTACTTTATTTCCCAATGGAGAAAAACATGTAAATGTTTTAACATTGACTATGAATATGAGATTTGAATAAATACTATTTTACATGTATCTATTTCGTTTGAAGTGGGAAGTATTTTTGTATGATATTGCATGCATGTTTTTATACATAGTATAAGTATCAATATTGGTCATATAATTAAGGCTGATTTGGGTTTAACCAAACCATCCAGTATTATTGGCCTTTCTATTTTGATCATTTATGATGCAATCTACTTGACTGATTAATCATCATTCCAATTAATGCATTTCCTTTAAAAATTTCCGCTTTTCGAACGAAACAATAGCAATTTAAGATATTATCACACTCGCACGTAACAGATAGAGAAAAACCCTACTGAAATAGTACCACCTACACTTTATTGAGAATAAAAGTAAGATTGGGAAATAATTTCATGATTATTTATATAATGGCTTTATTGACTAAGCATTTGGAAAAATTCATGTAAGAAAACTGAAACTGATTTTAATTGCTTGATATAATGATTCCTCTGCACCTAATTTTTTTTTGGGTGTAGAATTTAGAAACTTCAATGAAAAATATAGTTAATGTATAAAATATTGGATCTTGGAATGCCTGTCTCAGAAAATTGTCATGTTTCATGGTTATTTAAATGTTTTTTACTTACTCAAGTAATTGTGATGTAATATGTTTTTATTGTATTTCAGGGAGCCGCCAGACAATGGGCCACTAACACCAGGTACCCCAGATACACCAGATTCTCTTGAGGTAGCCAAAATAAACCAGAACTGCTACAAAGTCAAACACAAATCCACCAACAGGTATGTAACCATGTGATTATGTCTGCAGAAAAGTGACAATTTGACAAATAGGGAGTGCTAGAATAATTTATACCCATCCAGGCGTCAGTGAGACACTAATTTAGATCAAGCACTGAGAATAGTCAAGGTCGGTGTGTTTAGTAGTAGTCACCAGGTTAAACAGTTCTAAGGTAAATCCTGTTAACATTGTAAGAAATAAGTCCTCATAAAACTTGCCCAATGCTGATGGTTCTAGGACACATTGAATATAGGTCACCTGGAAGTCAAATAGGTTACAAAACCTTGTTAATACAACAGAGACCGAAGTTTTGATCAAGGTTGGATGAAACTACATGTAGCAAGGTCATTGTCATAATTATATCAAAGGAAAATATATAAATTATTTCCATCATACATGCTCACACTGTAATGACCAATATAAAAGTTAATTACAGTCTTAAGTGAGTGAAAGGGCCATCATTGCCCTCTTGGTCACAGAAGTTTCTATATTATAAGCATTTTTTATCTCCAAAATGTTCGATATCATAATTCACTACCTGACAGCAAGTAACAGCATTGTGTAATGTTGATTTTTTATATTTATCATTTTGGTGACCATTTATTCACTATATTGACTCACTGAATACTCATTGATTTTGGTAATCGGTGAAGTCAAGATACTGGTAGTACTTCAAAAAGTTCTTGTGATAGCTGTCTTATTATTTGTAACCTATCTTAAAGTCACATCATCTTAGATAGAAGGAGAATAAGGACACAGTAGGGTGAAGAAAACATGCCAGTAGACAATGCTCTGTTAATAATTTATTGGTCCTGAATATTTTACTGACTGCATCCAAAAAAATGTAAATTTGAATATGTATAAGTAGGTTTTATAGTATATATTTATTCAAACATTTGTTTAGATGTAGTGTACATGTATATAAATTGTTTTTTTCCATTATTTCTTTTAAGTGTTCATATCAGGCAATCCAGATCAACTAATTGATTGGCAATAATGGTTAGTTTATGTCATCATTACATAGCCTCCCACTCACCCACCACATTGATGCAGTCTGACCAGGCTACTGGTATATTACTGTGATTTATTGTCCGCTGCTTACATACAATGTACATTGTATTAGCATTTGATATTTAAATCCCTGGAGATGACAATGAACAAGTTAATAAATCAGTCCTAGTCCATTATACAAATGTTGTAGGGAAATATATCGCAAATAATGATTATTTTTACTGTTTCAGTGTACCTCACACCAAGGATATTGCAGATTTATTCCCGCTAGTCTCTGGCACAAATGGCCATGTACAAGTGACACCTGACAGTTCAAGGTCATGTACTCCAATATCAATTGGAGCTTCCGTACCTAGTCCTGGTTGTAGTCTGATTGGTATTCTTGCAGGAAAAGCGGACACAACTCCATCCAAAGAAACTTCTGGTCCAATTGAATGTCAGTGGAAAGATTGTAATATTTTTGTGAACAATGGTGAAATTATGGAACATATACGTACATGCCATGTGCAATCTCAAAAAGGCAAAGAAAAGGTTGTTTGTTTGTGGACAGGCTGTAAAGTTTACAACACGCCTTCCAGTTCGAAATCCTGGCTGGATCGCCATATACTCTTTCATAGTGGCGATAAGCCATTTCGATGTATTGTTGCTGGCTGTGGGGCAAGATTCACGACTCAGGGAGGCCTTGAACGACATGTTAATAGTCATTTCAATGCTCAAGAGCAGTCACCCAATCAGAAACACTCAAAACACGGCAGGGAAGACACCCCAACTAAATTATTCAAGCGTAAAAGATTGAAGCAGAAACGGCCTGCAATTAAAGGTAAGCTGTCACATGTATGATTACATACCAGAGTGTTGACACTTGATCCTTTGTAAGTTAGCTATCCTTGGCATTTTAATTTTAAGGCAATGGCATGAACATTGAGACAGAAGGTCTGTCTGGCAAGTGCATTAAATATTTTTGAGTTTCTGTTCTTTTATTAACCCTACCATGTTAAATGTATTAAATGGACTTGTCTGGGTGAAACCTTTCTAGGGAAAATTAAATTTCAAAATATTGTATGCTCTGACTGAATAGGGAACAGAGTAGACCATGATCAGGTGGCATAATTGTGTGTACTGAGTTTGGTCTGCACTGGTCGCATGGGTGGAATTTGTTGCCGCAAACAGTCTAAGAGTTAAACCCTTTCAAATGTAGGCCATACCTGCTTACAGTGAAAAACTAAGCCAATGCTGCCTTTATGCAATGAGAGGAAGATCTCTATGAAATAAATCATGTTTATGCTTTTCCTACTAGGAATTTCCTAGGGACATGTAAAAGGTAAAATTGTTGATATTAAAGGTCATTGAATTTGTGTTCATCAATTGATAATTTTCCCTTGTTTATGTTTCCACTCTCAGTTCTTTCTGGAGAGAATATAAGAATTTGAACTTCTGGCATGTAAAATGATAGATTTGCATGTCTTTCGATTGTATATTCTGTTGAAGTTTGGTTACCATCTTGGTTATTTTTTCAAAAATGAGTCAAATTAGAATAGTATCAGAGCTCCAGATAGCGTGCGTATAAGCGTAAAATACGCAAAGAAAATCTAAAATACGCATCACTTTCAAAATTCGTGCGTCACAGGTACGCACAACAAAATGAAAATACGCTCGTATGTCAAAATTTATGCGTAAAAGAATAGAAGTGTAAACATTTGATATGTAGAAAGAATATTTTTTGAGCATAAAATAAAATATATTTCCATTTAATTGCATTGAAAACTAAAAATTCTGTTGTCAACAACGCATGTTAAAAACGAAAGTAGCAGGAAATACAGAAGGGAGGTAACTCCCGTTGATCTATCAACCTGTGAAATTATTGATGAAATTTGTGCCAGATAATCATTGTAGGAGTTAACACAGTATTAACTTTGTTTAGGCATCTATTGACATACTCAATATAAACAAAAAATATATATTTTAATAAAATTTCTTTAACTTTAGTTGTTGGAACAAAATAACTTGTTATTCACCTGCAGTCTTGTACTCAATATTTTCGTACCCAGTATACAGTTACGGCCAATTTTCTCTCAGACTAATAATTTTTTTTAAGGAAAGATGAAAAAACTTGTTTATGTTTCTTTAATTCTAATTACAACTATAATTGTTCAAACTGGAGTACATGATAAGGTACATGCCAACAAAAATAAAGAAAGAAAAATATTGACTCCTAGAAAATAAAATAACTTGAGGGCTTCCACTAGTGGAAGATTGGGAGTCTTTAATACTCCTTCAATTGGCCTGTGACTTCCAAAAATCAATACTTTCCTTCTTTACCTATATAATTTGACTTCCAATATCAGAGATTTTGAAGTCTTTGACTTCCAAATTTTGAAAATGGAAGCCCTGATAATTTTGCTGTGTATCCTAAACTTGAGTTCCAGTATACTCTGGAAGTCTGACGTTACATGGCATGTTTTGTATTGTTTCACATTAAATCAGTATTTAATCTGTAAAAGTTTTTCTAAAAAAAGAAAATAACCAAACAAACACAACAATAAGTTTAATTTGTTTATAAAAAATGCAAAATGCTTTATTGACAGATTTTACCCTTTAAGTTTTTCAGAATTTGCATTTTACCCCTCACTCTAAATTTTCAGGGGTAAAAACCCCTTGGCCAAAAAAATTATCTGGAGCTCTGTAGTATTAAAACTTGTGTGGTGGGGTACATAGTACTTGCAATCATGATTTCAAACAGCCTTGAGTCAATACCATTGACTTCCAAGTGAATCTGAACGTACATGCAATAATTTATAAATAAACCTTTCCTTTCTAAATCCATGCAGTCTTTTTATGGCAGGTAGCAATCTAATTTGTTAAGATTATTGCAGAATTGTGCAACAATTTATCTATTAAATAACTTTATAATAATGTGAAGTTGTAAAGGTTTATTTAATGGTGACATTGTGCATGTTACAACATGGATATTGATCTTCATGTATCTACCACAGCTAAATATGTTCTTCAGCCTTGTTTCTGTTTTTCCTATAAATACCTTGTATTGTTCTGACTCTCTGGGCAATTTTCAAGCTGGTTGAAATCTCTCTTGCCACAATAGCTTCAATTGTAATCATACAGTCCTTAGATTATACTGAACTGAAAATAGCTGCATGAGATGGAATTAAATTGTTCACTGATTACCTCTTTTGAAAATTTTCATTTCGTTTCATTAAACACATGTGTCTGAAAATCAAGTTTTAAACCCTTTCAATCTAGAGACAAAACCAGGATTCATCATTTTTGTGGATAATTTCAAATTATGTACTGATTTAATAGTGTACAATGCAGACAAAGTTCCGACTGCACTGCAGAGCCGGCAAAATCAATTGTCCGTATTGCCCAGGTTGTCCCACAGCCTGTAGGGATAAGTGAAAATTTTCAATCATACGGACAAGTTAAAAAATGCTTCACATAAAAACAGACAAGAAAGTCAAAATCAGATTTTGCCGGCCCTGCACTGTGCTGGCTAATCTTGGTCTGCACTGGTGGCACAAGTAGGTCAGTGGTTGCCTGCAGCATGGTTAAGGTTAATATACATGTACACGGATGTCCTGTAATATGATTGTGGTAGAACTTTTGTAAGAATATTGTAATTTTGTCAAATTGATTGATTGATTGATTGATTGATTGATTGATTGATTGATTGATTATGATGCAGTGATGAGAATAAACCCATATATCTGATCAAATATCAAATACAGTTTTTACTGAAAGTTTATTTATAAAACTTTCTTTCTCTGCAAACATACTGGAGGATATGCATATAAATGTTGTTTTTTGTTGGTTTTTTTTCTCAACTTTTTTACTTTAAATTTTAATACATATAAAGATACAGTGTGTTTTTACTAGCTGATATTGTTAAATATCTATGCAGTAAAAAAAAAAGATCACAAAAAAAAAAAAATTAATAAAATGCTTTCAAAAACTTTTCTTGTTACTATAAGTTAGAGGAAAAAAACGACAACAAAGCTGTCACTACCTAAGAAAAATAAGAGGTAATTTTAATACAGTTCTTAAGCTTCTCAGCATCAGATAATTTTAGAGCAGTATTGCAGATTTTATGTTTAAATAGAGGTGCTGTGGCAAAACACATAAACACTGTATAACTACAGCTTTATAACATAATATAAACATAGAATAATGATAAAAACATTGTAGAAATTTATTTTAGATTATTTTTTTTCTTCCTTGAGCACTTGATAGTTTGACCTTAGATACGGTATGTTTGCAGACATGCAGAAACACATGTTAACATCACTTCAAACATTTCCTCATCAAATATAAAACCCTGTTTTAATGGCTGTATTCATATAGTCACTGGTCATCAAATAATGTACAAGCTACCGTACTGCATAGTATGAATAATGGAAAATAGGATGCTGGCCTAGATTAAGGTCATTACATGGTTAGACTTCCTGTCCCCTATAGATGAAATTTGAAACCCTGAAAAATAGTACTTGATAGTTTTCTGTTGTTACATGTATGAGGTAATGAATTGCTAATTTGTAAATAAACTTGCAGCTTTGACATACATGTAGTACATGTAGGCGACTTACTGAAATGTGGACAAAAGTTAAAATAACCACCTTGTCCAAGTTTGGTTAACAGGTTAATAAAATCTGTACAGTTTCATTGCCCCTTCTTTTATATATGATCAGACTATGATCAGACGCAAACATGTAGTTAAAAGAATGAATGAGTGGGGGGGAGACAGGTTAAAAAAATGGGGCCCGGGGAGGGGGGGGAGTAACCATAGGAGTCTTAAGGTTTTTTGGGTTTTTTTAAATAAGTTAACTCCATTTAACATGTCCTTCCTTTTCAATGAGTAATAACTATATGATAGGTATAATATGCCATTATAAATCTAAATAGTTTGTGGTGACATTGCATTAAAAATATGATGAATTGGTAGATCAAAGATAATGTTTTAAAAAATCGAGTGATATGTGTACGTCACTCATTTAAACAGAAAAAAATTTCAAATACGAACTGTATATTAGAAATGGTACTTACTATGCCTGACCCTAGTTTTGAGTGAATTTACTGATATCTTACCAGAGTTATGACCCTTTGTGTTTGATTACATAAATTTTACTCTTTTAATAAGGCATTAGATGTAAATTTCGCTGACAGATTTTGTTCATTCATAAACTATACTGACAAAGGCTAAATAATGATATCACCATTACGATGTAAACTTAATGCTATTAATGCTTTAGCAGTATGCCAAGAGCAATCATTAAGCATTTAAATTTAATTCAAATTTAGACACGGTATACAAGATGTTTCAAGGTTTTCAATAGAGAACAGAACATAAGATGTCTAGACAAATTAGGTTGACATTTACATTTAATTGCAACATGCTTTTCAAAAAAAGAGTTATTGAACTGTAACAGGACTTTCTGTGCTCTAATTCTAACAGCAAGATTTTCCTTTTTTTGCAATGCTCTAGTTTTTTTTCAGGTGTTTTTTTTTTTTTTTTATTAAAGATGGATTTTATAATCATGAGTCAGATGAAATAAAGATGTATTGTAAAATTATTATGGTAAATGATTACTGTCTGTATGTGTGGAAATGTTTGTTGAATGTATTAATTAAATGATAAACTAGATCTAAACAGTTTAACCTTTATGGCTGAGGGGTTGTCTTTAAGGGTTGAGGTACATGTATCAGAATTGCAGCCACCGTTATCCCTGCATGATCGTATGAGGCAACTAAATGGGTCCGAATTACTTGAGTCTATACATCTCGGAGCTGCAGCAGTTGAAGTGACTTTGA